CAGTCATGAGAGGCTCCTTACCACTACAGTGCCAATCCATTCATGGCCCGGGCCGTTCGATCAAGTTGGCCAGTGTTTTGTCTACTCACCTGCAAGATAGGTATGAATCTTTGACGGAACTAATAGACAGACCTACGTTCTCAGGAGAGTCAGGTCCAAATTTCGACGCCCAACAAATAAGAGCTATCCCCTTGCCATTAATATGTGTTTGTTGTTTCGACATGATTAGATGCTCTCGTCACCACAATATTTACTTCACGTTCCTGTGAAGCATTAGCCTTTTAACCTTAAACGGTTACTGGTGTCAGGGTTGTCTGTTGCGTTTCAAACACATCGCCATGCATCACCATTCCTCATCCAGTGACCATGGCGTTTCGATGGGATATTCTTAGCCATGGATAACAAAGACAGAGAGGTCATGGCTTAGAAAATACAAAGCCGAGTTTATTAGTCCCTCTCCCTTATGGCCACCTGAGAGACGGCATGCTTTATGCTCACACGTTTGCAAGCCATCCAGCGTCTGAGTTGTAAATCGTTCAGCGCCTCGGTAGCACAAGCTTTATGATGATGTTCATGAATGCCAAGGAGGGTTGTCCTGAGAGGTAGAAACTCTATAAAGTTTCCACTACTCATGGTGCCAAATAGCCGCCGCTGCTCAGAGCCCAGACCCATAAGGGCCATACCAGATGATATGACATGACATGTCATGTATTAATCTAATCTGAATTTGGACGGTTTGTTTGATGTGTATCTATGCCACCAACCGAACAGAAACACGAGCCAAGTAGAAGGGTCCTCTGTTACGTACTATGAGCGAATCCTCACAGATGGTCCTGTTTAACATCAGATATATATATGGATACCATGTCAAGGTCTCCAGTAAAGACTCCTTCGCATAACGGAAACCCGTCAACATTGCCGTTGATAAATTGGAGATAAACGACCTTTTACCTTGACAACAATATTTAATCTTAGCAGCTCCAGTATAATGTCTAGGCCTCGAATCTATTCACTTTGCAATTAAAGGGATAGGTCAACCCGTTTAACATGAGAGTCTGCCTGGTGGAATACCAGCCAATTCAAGAGAGTCATCACACAACACTCTTCTCCCCCAATTCCTCACTATCAGCCTTCATGACAAGATATTTTCTGACATCACAATTCGATCAGCTCGATTCTTCCGTCTCTGTTATAAAACTTGCAGATCTTGAGCAACCTTGATCCTCGTCCGAGCTCTGCGTCAATGGCACGCTAGGTATTGAGATTCAGGAATTTCAGGAGAGCAAGCAGGAGAATGAAGGTGGACCAATCGGCAGCATATCCGTGTGGAGATCTCGGGCCTCGATAACAGGACGACATATTGGGAGCCAGAGCAAATATCGCTAAAGAATTGTGGTGCAAATACGTGACATTTGTTATGTCGAAGAACGAAACGTCTGACAGGAAGAAACTTTTCTATTGCCTAGCCTTCTTTTTGTGCGTTGTCCGGTATCCGTGGACTGATCAGGACAAATCCTAACTCCTGCCTAGACGTTCATTGTTTTGACACATGACCATGCCAAGATGACATCTAATAAATTACATTTTCCTTTCGTATATGCTAGTTTTATCCCTTTTCTTGCTTTATCGTGCAACAACCTCGACCTCCTGACCCTCAAACTTGGGGAGCTCGCTCTCAATCTGGGCCCAGGTCTTGCTACCATCCACAAGTGACTTGATAGCGTCGATGATCTTCCCCTGCTCAGCTCGGACCTGGTTGGTGCTGTCACGGTCTCGCAGGGTGACCGAGCCGTCTTGGACTGTCTGGAAATCGATGGTGATGCCAAGAGGAGTACCAAGCTCGTCGTTTCGGCTATATCGCTTGCCGATACTGGCAGATGAGTCATCGACACGGCTAGAGATACCAGCGCTGCGAAGACGTTGAGAAAGCTGCTTAAGAAGAGGCTTGAACTGAGGGTTGGAGGAAAGGGGAACAAGGAGAACCTTGGTAGGGGCCACGATAGGGGGGAATGACAGGACCTTGAAAATGTTAGCAAATCGTCATATAGCACTTTAGGGGGCTTCTTACACCACGGGCCTCGTCACCGCCCTCAGTACCACGGGTCCAGAAGCTGTGCTCCATCAAAGAGTAGAGGATACGGCCAATACCGAATGAGGGCTCAATGACGTTGGGAACGAATTCACGAGTGTTCTCAACCCTCTTGCGGAACTCGATGGCGATAGATTCCTTGCTGACCTGGACCTTACCGTCACCAACACCAGGCACCTCGAGTGTGATGCTGCCGTTTTCATTCAACTCCTTGGCAAGCTTCTCGCGCTGTTCCTGTGGGGTAGCCAAAAGAGCAGCCTCAACAGTCTTGGCGTCCTTCTTGAACTGAGGACCAAACTTCTTCCTCTCGATATCAATCTGCCACTCCTCGATAACGAGGGGTGTCTCACGTTGCTCACGCACGACCAGGGGAGCACCGGTCTTCTTGGCGTGCACGCTCAAATCGTAAGCACTTCGGTCGGCACAGCCAACACACTCGATCCAGCCAGAGCTGGTGAACAACTCAGCGTCCCAGCAGTCGCAAGCGTAATGAGCCATCTCGTTGGCCATGTGCTGACGGAAGCGCAGCTTAGTCATGTCAATACCAATCTTTTGTAAGAACTGGTGGATTCGAGCAATGAAGTAGCCTAGAGTCTCGTTGTCGACAAGGCCATCCTTGACAGCTTGTCCAATCTTGACAGTCTTGGTTTGAGTCTTGCCAGAAAGCTGGGTATCACGGTCGAGAAGAACGAGCTCGACATCCTCGACCTCGTGGAATCGGGCGTGCTTCTTGCCACCCTCGGGATCGACAAAGTGCTCAATCTCGGCCATGAGGAACTCACGGACTCGCAAAAGACCGGCACGAGGAGAGATCTCGTTACGGTATGACTTGCCGATAGAGGCGGAAGCGAAAGGCATCTGGGACTGGTTGAACTCAAGAAGCTTGGCAAAGTTCAGGAACTGACCCTGAGCAGTCTCGGGACGGAGGTAACCAGGGTAGTTGCTGCTGGGACCGATAGAGGTCTGGAACATGAGGTTGAAGGAAACAGGCTCTGCAGGCTGGACACCAGTAGCAGGGTTTCTGAGGTCGTACTTCTTGATGAGCTCGCCGAGCTCAGGGCCACCGTAGTTGTCGATTCTGGCAAGGACCTCCTCGTACTCCTGGACAAGGGAATCCTCAAGCTTGACAGCCTCAGTCTTGGCCTTCTTCTTCTTCTTCTTGGGGTCCTCCTCCTTTTCTTCCACCTTCTGGCCACGGGCCTCCTTGTCACCGTTCAGGCGGGCTTCGAGAATGGCCTCAACGAAGTGGTCGGCTCGGAGAATCTCGCCGTTCTTGGGGTCCTTGCACATCCAGTCGGCAAACTTGTCGACGTGACCACTGGTCTTGAGAACCTCATGGGGAGTCAGGACAGTGCAGTCAACCTCGAGCATATCCTCCTCAAGGATGAAGTGTTTCCTCCATTGGTCAATGACGGCCGCTTGAAGCGCACAACCGGGAGGGCCATAGTCGAACAGACCACCAACACCGCCGTAGATCTCGAAAGAGGGGGTATAGAACATGCGTCGTCGGAGGATGGATTCGAGAACAGCCTTGTCGAGGGGCTGGCCCTTGAGAGTTGTCGCGCTGGAAGTCATTGTATCTTTGGTGCGCTTCTGCGACTTTTGCAGTTTGAAAGCGTTGAGGGGTCGTGAGGTCGCAAATGTGCGAGTGCGGGGTGGTTTTGCACAGGCCGTAAAACGGGACCTGGAACTAAAACGGGAAACACTAAGTTGCCTTGATAAGGACGACGCTGCTGAAAAGTTTGTTGATACTGTTACGGGCAGTGTCGTTGGAGATAGTGACAAAATACGAATTGGCTTCATTCACCCTGATTTGAAAAGCTCTAGGGATATAAAAGTGAAGCAGGAGGGCGTGAGTCACAAGCCTGTTACAGAGACTTGCACGTCTGGGCTGGATGGGTCCTATTCTCAGGCTGTCTGCTTGAGATGGATGACTGTGGATGGTGGGGGAATTTTTGGCAGTTTCTGTACCGTCTGCTCAACGTTGATTCGATGATTTGAAGTGGTTGATTACCCTAATGGGAGGCAGTTCTGGTTCGGAATTGTAGCTTTCCAAGGAAGATATGACTGACATTTTTTTGGTCCCGCCATGACCGGGGACCATTTCCTAGGTACATGCTGTAAGCCAGGGACAGGCTCCCCTCTGTTTACATCCACTGTCAGAAGGTTGGTTGATATATGTAGTTCTAGCCAGTTTAGCGAATGATTGATTATTGAAGCTTGAGAAAGCAAGCAACATAGTAAAGTTTTACCTACACTAATACTCTTCTCTTTGTAATCAATACACACCAGGTACCTGAGCATGTCTTTTGTTACAGGCTGGGGTTGACTAGGCGCTTGATCGACATAATACTTGGAGTAGACTTCTTAAAGTGCTAATATCAATGCATCGCGAGCGTCAAAACATAGTCGATAAAGATGGCCTAGTGATCCAGCATACCAGGTATTTATTAAAGTTGTGTTTGAATTTTGACCAGTTCATATTTGGTCCATCATGGGATACTTATGTCTACAGGTCTAGAGCATCTGTCAAATTAGATATGTGGATTCTGATATGAACAAGAACATATATACTTCAATACACTTTTCCCTTCCAAACTGATAACTTAGGAGGAAGCATCAGGCAACTTTCACAATGAATTGTTTATACAAGTCCTAATCTTTTCTCAGCTGTTTGTCCAGTGGGTCGATCGCTAGAAACCTGTCTTTGCCGCCTCCGTCTCAGGCGATCTACCAATTGCTAGTGCGGTGAGTTGCCTAGCAACCGCTTTGTTTAGGTAGCCGACCCCAGCTTAAGCGACATACCTTGAAGAACTGCAACCGTTCAAAAAGGCACCATCCATCGTCTTTCTTCAATTCCTCAACCGTCTTTCACTAACATCAACAGCCCATCCCATAATTCCTCTTGAGCATGGCTACCCGTACCATTGAGGCGCGCTTCGAGCGCATGTCGGTCAACGATGAGAACGACCCCCTCGGCGATGGCTCTAAGCTCTACAGCAAGAGCAAGGTGAGCTCACCGACACATTGTGGTGTCGTATCAATCACTGACATGTATAGACTATTTCTTCGACAACAAGTCATGGTGCAACCCGTCCCAACCTGTTCAAGGTCGCTCTTCAGTCACAAAGCAGCAATGCCAACGCCGCTGTAATGCTGCCATCCCAGGCTGCTCAACGAAAAGCCAACAACCCTCCTCCATCCCCTACAAGAAAGGCCCTCCCCTCTTCATCGAGAACATCAGATGAGGTCTCCGAGGACCGGAAATCAGTCACCTTGCCGGAACAGATGAGCGTTCCCAAACAGTTTCACTTGGGCATGTTTGAGATCGGCCGCCCCCTCGGTAAGGGCAAGTTTGGACGAGTCTATCTTGCTCGAGAGAGAACAACAGGTTTTATCTGTGCCCTCAAGGTCCTCCACAAGAACGAACTGCAGGCCGGTCGTGTTGAGAAGCAAGTTCGCCGAGAGATCGAGATTCAGAGCAACCTGAGACACCCCAATATTCTTCAGCTATACGGCCATTTCCACGACAGCAAGCGAGTGTTTTTGATTCTCGAGTTCGCCGGCAAGGGTGAGCTGTACAAGCACCTCCGAAAGGAGAGCCGGTTCCCCGAGTGGAAGGCTGCTCAGTACATCGCCCAGATGGCATCAGCCTTGCGCTACCTGCACCGAAAGCATGTTATCCACCGAGACATCAAGCCTGAGAACATCTTGGTTGGTATCCACGGTGAGATCAAGATCTCGGATTTCGGATGGAGTGTGCACGCTCCCAACAACCGAAGGAAGACCATGTGCGGAACTCTCGACTACCTGCCCCCAGAGATGATCAAGCCTGGTACCTCCGATAACTTTTACAACGAGAAGGTTGACCTGTGGAGTTTGGGTGTCCTGACATATGAGTTCCTTGTAGGCGAGGCGCCCTTTGAGGACACGCCAGTGATGACTCAACGAAGGATTGCTCGTGCTGATATGTCTATCCCAACATGGGTCAGCCCCGAGGCTACGGACCTCATCAAAAAGGTATGTCTCGTCGTTATGCCCCTTCCCTTGACAATCATGACAACTAACAAAATCAAAGCTGCTTGTGCTGGACCCCGAGAAGCGAATTCCTCTTGAGCAAATCCAACAGCACCCTTGGATCATCAAGCACTGTGTCAAGGGTGAACGGGCCTCGAACCGCGAGAAGGGCCTATAACGATTTTATGACAACCTAATCGATATGGACGAACGGATACGGATTGGATGGCGTTTATTGGCGATTGATTAATTTGTAATATTCAAAAGCGGAACCTGACCGTTTGCATAAGTTGGCGTATAGGGTCTCCATTGTGGCATCATTTGAGAATTGTTACAATGAATAGAAGAATTGCATTAGCATTTGAAAGGGTATCATTGACAGTATTAGCGTATCCGATGGAGAGGCATCATGTTCCATTACGAGCGCCTCTTGCCATACTCATATATCATACACGGTTTTCAGGTCGAAATCTATTTCCCCATTACCTAAAAACCTCATCGAATGGCCGGGTATCTGCAAAGCACGAATCCCACACTGAATTGACGGCCCTGGCTGCCTCAACGTCGTCCTTACACGCAGTTCTGCCAACAATGGAGTCGATAGCTCGTCTGCGGACGCAATTTTGGAATTGTTGTGTTAGTTTCCAGTTTCCTCTTGTAAATGCTTCCTTGGCCCATCTGCATTCGCCACTGAGCATTGAAGCCCGGATCTTTAGAACAGTTAGGACTCGATACTAGTTAGATATATGAATGGCTTCAACTCACCTCTGTACATGCAGCGTGCTTCAAGTTTCCTGGCTTACCCACAAAGTCGACATTCTTCCACCTAAGCGTATCCCAAGCATGCACCATTTCGTGCGCAAGCGTGTCTTCGAGATGTTTCCTGTTCTGAATTTCGTTGGCGCATATCAGGATACCATGTTCGGGGCTGAAACCGCCTGATTGTCGCAGTACAGTGCCATCAGCGTTGAGATATGAAGGGCAACGCCGACAGTAAACGTTGGAAGGGTCTATCCGTCCATTGAGGTCGCGGATCTTTTCTGACATGAAGCGCACAGTGGGTGAATATGTAAAGAGCCAGTCACGGAATTCTTCGCAGCGCTTAATGTCCTTTTCCTCCTCGACGGTATGTACCCATTCCCGGTAGTGGAATTTGCCTTCGGGTGTCATTTGACCCGATATCATCTTGAAATAGTTCATCCATTTTGACACTTCTGGTGAGAATCCGGTTACTGCAGGGTCATTCTGAATTCCTCTTGGGGCTTGAGTCGAGGTAGATGCGCCAGCTGTGGCGCTGGGAGCATTTGTTGGATCAGATGACATCGTCAAGGGTCTGCCGATGAGTCTTCAGCGTCGGCGTTGGTGTCAGCGAGTGTATTGGTGCTTGCAGCGGAATTCGGGATCCGGGATCTTGAATTATTCAACGACGGGATCTCTTTCGACCTTCTCGCCAAGGTCTTAGTCTCTGAGGTAGTTGAACATAAATTCTGCCACGCCCGTTCTGGCCCAAGGCGGTGAAAACAACGACTCGGAAATGTTATCCAATCAGCAAGTTTTTGTTGACCCGTTTTGCGACTTCGGAGTCTGGGGGATACCGGGGAGGTTCTACAAGGGCGCAAAGGGCACAGATCCAATCACCTTGACCATCGAGCAACGTTTCCAGGATCAACCTGCGCCCAGCTCTATACATCCCATCCTCGGTTCCACACTCGAAAAAGCGACAAGGGCGTCTGAAAATGACGAGTGAAGGTATCTTTCAGTGTGAGCGTTTTCCTGATTTCTCTTCTTTTTGCTTCATTCATCTTCGTTAAATTGCGCTGTGTAAAGAGAGCCTGTCCTGTTGAATTTGTCCATATATGATATATATGTCTCTACATCTCCGTGTAGAACTCATATTGTCATGTGAAAGCACCAGTCTTTACCACGGGCATTGTATTTTATCATACGGTTAAAGCGGCATTAACTGACTTATTTTCTTTCTTTTTAATCTCGCAGTCATGCGAGGAAACGGGACAAAGTCCCTGACCATTGTTATCAAGCTTGGTGAGTACCACTCTCTGCACCAAACTTGACTCATCTCCCCCTAACACTCCGCCTTCTTTTCAGGAACAAGCTCAATTGTCGATGAAAAGACTCATGAGCCGCTTCTTCCTATTCTCACTCTCATTGTTGATACAGCTGTAAAGCTCCGAAAGGATGGCCACCGAGTGGTCATTGTTTCATCGGGAGCCATCGGCGTTGGGCTCCGGCGAATGGATGTAGAGAAGCGACCTAAGCATCTCGCACAGCTACAGGTTCGACTTGATGTCTTTTTTAAACAGAAATCTTGAGAGTTCTCTAACCTCGATTGACAGGCACTCGCGGCGATCGGTCAATGCCGACTGATGAGTCTCTGGGATAGTTTGTTCACCCATCTCAGACAGCCGATTGCGCAGATTCTCCTTACTCGAAACGACATTGCAGATGTATGTTTCCCTTTCTCATCTACTATTCGCGATCATGAATTAAAATAAGCTGCAGCGGACCAGATACTTCAATGCCCAGAATACCTTCCATGCACTTCTGGAACAGGGCGTTATTCCCATTGTCAACGAGAATGACACTCTCGCTGTTGCCGAAATCAAGTTTGGCGACAACGATACTCTCTCCGCCATCACTGCCGCCATGATCCACGCCGATATGTTGTTCTTGATGACAGATGTTGACTGTCTGTACGACAAGAATCCCCGAACCAACCCGGATGCCAAGCCCATTGAGGTGGTCGAGGACATTGCCGCCCTCCAAGCCGATGGTAAAAATCATTCTCAATCCTGCGTTTTGCCTTGTGGTCACTGACAGTGAACAGTTTCCAGTGCTGGCTCATCCCTTGGAACCGGAGGCATGAGTACCAAGATTATTGCAGCCAGATTGGGCACTTCTGCGGGTGTCACGACTGTGATTACAAGGTCATCTAATCCAGGAAATGTGCTTCACATTGTGCAGTACCTCCAATCAATACAAAGAGGGAACAGCCCTCCCAGCCCTGATGAGCGCGCCGAAGGTCTGACACGTTCAGCATCAGCTCTGTCACTGTCAGCCTCCAATGGCAATGGTGTCCCCTGGCCCCCTCTACATACCCGATTCGTCCCTGCCAACAACCCTATCCGGGACCGTCACTTTTGGCTGCTTCACACCCCTTATCCTCATGGCACCCTCTACATTGACTCGGGAGCTTACAAGGCACTTGTTGGCAAGGCTGGCCTGCTCCCGGTAGGCGTTGTTGACGTTGAGGGTAACTTTGCCCAGCAGGAAGTAGTGCGGCTCGTGACAGTCAAGCGACGATCAACTCCTGGACCGGATGGTAAGATGTGGGAGGGTACTCCGGAAGAGGTTGGCCGAGCACTGGTCAACTATGCCGCTGCTGAGATCGCTCGGATCAAGGGAAAGCAAAGCGTGGAGATTGAGAAGATTCTTGGTTATGCTGACAGTGAGTATGTCGCTCACCGACAACATGTTGGCTTCTTTGGGAAAGGCAGCAGGCCAGTGAGTCCCGCACACGAGATCGTTTCGGCGGTGATGGAGTAAAATAAAAAGAAGGAACTGAAAGATGGACAGAACGGGGGCAAGCGAATACATTTCAACATATACAGCGCTTTGATGATGATGATGACGATGATTATATCTACCAAATCCACCAAATAATCCAAGCATGATTGACTTGATTGCAAGTTTCTTTTTCCCTTCACTCTCAACGCCCAAGAATGACTTAAAAATGACCCAAACGCCAGACGAACTAAAGCCACCTTCCACTCTAACCGGTCGCAAACAAGTTGTCTTCGTCACGGAGGTACTCTCCACAATCAGCCTGTCTGAAGCAGGTAACACCAGTAGGGTCCAGTCTTCGCGCCTCAGCGGTGCTGCGGGCTGTGACACCAAATCCGAGCGGGGTGTCGTTCATGCTGTAGACAACGACTCCCTGGTGCTCAGGGCAGTCCTCGGACCAGCGGCCAACGTGGGCCTTGACGATGTTACTACCGTAGAGGAAAGGCATGGTTCCGTTCTCCTTGACCCAGATCTTGTAGCGGGCGTGCTCGGCGATGATGGGGAGGGCTGTGACGTGCAGACGAAACTTGCCCGTCTTGGTGAACTTGCCTATAGAGAGGTTTGGGTTAGTCAGGGTACCTGAGGTTTCGCATCCGGGGCCATCCATACCAAGACAGGTTCCTAGAGACAGAAGCTTCTCGCGCGCAATAGAAGTCGCCAGGTTGGCAATGGAAAGGCGGACGTAAAAGACACGATCGCGAACGAGGCGGAAGACATAGCGATCAGCGTTAGGAGAGTCGTCGAGAGGGGCGATGAGGTTCTTGAGAGAGCCACCAGTGTAGTTTGCCAGCTTCTCGAAGAGAGTCTGTGTCTCCTTTTCTGTGAGGGGACGCATTGTGTCGGTTGTGATTTTTGGTGGTGCTTCAAGTGCTGGAAGGTGATGGATGTTTTGCTGGGTTTGGATGCGCAAAGGAAAAAAAGTTGATGGAGCGGGAACTGATAAGGATCCTTATCGGCCGGTGGATGCTCAAAGTTGAAAGGGTCCACCTCCACCTTCAAGCAAGGTGTAAGTGAGAACAAGCCAAAAATATGAATCGAGTTCCATTATCACTCAGATGTGTCTATATTAATTATAATTACTTATGTTTTCATCTAAACCATAAGTTGAACTAAAAAATTAGCTAGATTATCCTTCGTAATTGCTATGACATTTGTCTGAATCTTCACAGTCTAACACCCCAATATGCGCTTTCAGACACCGTTTATTGTAGAGAAGATGCTCCCTTCAAGCAAGTTCCAATTTACTATAAAGAGTATTATAACTAGGCACTTACCTGAGTACCTGATTTGATCAATTGGTAGAATCTAAGAGTCAGATATCTATAAAAGCTGTCTGATGGAGTTTCCAACTCAATGCTAAACAAATCGTATTGCATGAGCTTTCGTGCTTTTTATGCCTACAAGGGAAATAAGAAACTCGTCAGTTGGAGAGTTTCTTATACTATCACTGTATCTCATGCCACTGAGTGCTAATGGAAAAACAAGATCTAACGCTTTATTCTGAAATTGCACATAACAAGGTTGACGATTGGAGGTGAGGCTTCGTGATGAAGAAACTCAACAAGGCAAGTAGGTCGGGGACCAACCATGGAATTTGATTTACATCGATGTATCTTTATTTGAGACTGATTTCACACATGATGAACATATTCGAGTCGAGGGTGTTGCTTTTGACGCAGTCATGATCGATGTAGCTGTGAGTGTTGACTGAGACAAATATTTGCGTTTCTTACATTTGTTCCTTTTGCATGACCTACGGCACTCGACGAGTAGGATTCACAAGGCGTTCAATTAATAACTTTCACCTAATCACCTACGCCTCTATATCATGATAGCAAACCTCATATGGCCATGAAATCTGGAAACTAGGAATAATCTTTACTCTGTCGTATTAATATTGAGAGATGCTGACCTCTTTGACCGAGTCTTTTTCATAACTCATCATAAATTCAATTGTTCTATGACTGCTCTACTACCACTTTAGCAGTTCATACTTGGCTCACTTAGGGATGAATATTAAATTCTTATTACAACAAAGTTGACGTAGTTTGTTGATATTTCTTTGTCCATCTCTTTAAATGTCTGTCTGATCCATTTGATAAGGCAGCGACCCCTAGTGGGGGTAGTTACCTGTAGTGGCAACTCCCCACTACCCCACCACATACTCACTACGACTCAAGCTCTCCAACTTGCAACCTCTGTTTAACATCGTCACATTTCCTTAGAGAAATAAGCCATTCATACTTCAAGATGCAGCAAAATCATATATCAAACCTCAATGAACCCTTCCCAAAGCCACAGGCTCTGGCATCGGCGACGACGACACATGCTCAAGGCCAATTTCGCATCTCGACGCGCAAGCTACCCATCTCCAAGGCCGGCACTATTGATGCACTCACCGAAAAGATTGGCATCCCAATGCCTGAGATGATCTTTGGCGAAAACCTCGTCGGAATTGAGCATATACCTTCGGGCTGGTCCCTGAACTTCAACACCCCGGACGCCCTTGATGCCGTCGACAAGACAGATCGACACATGCTCAAAGTTGCATACGCTCGAGACTGGGAGAGCACTCGGGAAGGCACTACGCAAGGCATCAAGGAGGTTGTGAAGCCCTACGACTGGAGCTACTCGACAACGTATACCGGGAGCGTCGACCCATCGGCCAAACAGTTTGCGCCTACAGAGAATATGATTCCGATCGAGCTGCTGAAGCGCCGTGACCCCATCCTTTTCTTCGATGAGGTTATGCTGTTCGAGAGCGAGCTAGACGATAACGGCATAAGCATTTTCAGCGCCAAAGTTCGTGTTCACGAGAAGCGCATGCTTTTGCTGTGCCGGCTATTCATGCGACTTGACAATGTCATCCTGCGAATTCGTGACACTCGGGTCTATGTTGACTTTGAGACCGACGAAGTCATTCGTGAATATTCGGCGCAGGAAGAGACGTACGAGAACGTCAAGAGGGTGAGACATCTTGAAATCTACGCTCACCAATGATTGAGTACTAATTTTTGGCCTAGAAGCTGCAGATGTCCGGCAGACTGCCTGATGATATCACAATCGCACTGCGGGATCCCAATATCCTAGCCCCATTACTGCCGCTGGTTGAGCATCGAGCGGAAGCTGTAAAGCTGGGTGCATGAAAGAAGGCTATAGTACACAACGTATAAGCTTGAGTGAGACGGGAGTTTCAGGAGTTCGGTACATTTTTATCATACGGGTTCTTTAACACAATAAAGCGGTTACGGAACTCGTGAAACCAAGAAACTTAGTTATCTGATATCAAAAAACGCTGCTAAGCAGTTTGTTAACTTGCCCCAGTCCAAACTCGACATCGTCTTGAACCCATCCATGCCCTTCAACCCAAAGACGTGCAGTACAATACAAGTCTAAAACAGACATCATTCAGATCTTCATAAAATATCAAATTTCCTTTGTGTGACTCCAAAGCTTTGCTTGAATATAACCGTCCCTGACCTGACCAACGCCTGCTTGACCCCAGACTCTTTTCGTTTACTTTGCTTGGTGCCCCCAGTGCTTGTGTTTCGGTGATTTTGCATCACCGCGCGAGCGGAGAAGAGCTCTGCGTTACCTCCTCAAAGTCAAGTTCCCACCTGTCAACTTCTTTGAACTTCTTTGCTGCCTGCCTGAGCTCGTCTGCAGATGGCGTGCTTGCATTCTCGGCACTTCCATCTTCAAACGTATCGTTAGGGAGTGGTTGGAAACGACTATTATCGTGTTGATCCTCGTCACCACTGGCTTCCTCGTTTTCGTTTTCCTTGTCTGATGAGCGGCGTGAGTAGGTTTGTGCATTGCGCTCTACCTGTTTGCCAGAACTAGTTTGTTTGGACTTCAGAGCCTGTGTTGTGCGCCCACCCCTCGAACCTGGTCGTTTTGCACCGCCGCGACTTGTTGATCGCCCACCTCGTCTTTGACGTGCCCCTCGGCTGCCAACATATGAAAGCTCGTCCTCATCCTCGCCAATGCCAGATGTGTCATGCTCTTCATCACTCTCCATTCCTGGCTCTCGCTGCTTCTTGTAATGCCGTTTTGGAAGCAGGCTCGTTAGATCCGCAGTTGTGACTTTGTGTGAAGGTTGTTGACGTCGGGTTGCAGCTCGTCCCCGGGGCTTTTGTGTTTCGGCATAATTAGGAGAGTGTGTTAACGACGGAGGAGAGGAAACGTCCGAGAAGTTATCGGCACGAACTGGTGTTGTGATAGAGGGTCGTCGGCGTCTCTTGGCCAGGGTATGAATATCAGGCCAATTCGCGTCTTCCGAATCACTGCTGGCCGGTAGGGCCATGAGCTCATCATTATTGATCGGTGTAACGGGCCGTTCGGGGAGGACAGGTGAAGGTCCCAAAGGAGATCCAAGATCCGATAGTGAGGAGTCACTCTCAGCATCTGAGTCAATGGTCTCCGGCGCAGGTCCCGCTTCATCCTCAGATAGCTCCATATCTCTCTCAATCCGCGACATCTTCTCCGGCCGTTCGCTGCTTGGGAGCGCGTCCTCACTCTTTCGTTTCCTATGCTTCGGTCCTGCTGAAACATCTGGAGATACTGGAACTTCGATTTCGAGTTCGGCTTCAGGTTGTGTTCTCCGTCTGTTATTAACCGGAGTGGATTCAGCTTCAGGCGCAAAGTCATCCTCGCTCTCTGAGTCTGGCTCCTGTCCTACTGCATTTTCTTCTGGTTGCGGCTTTCGTGCAGTTCCTAGAATACTTGGCTCTCTGGCTCGTCGCTTGAAAGCGCCGAAGTGAAGTGTAGAGCTAATACTTGGGGTGTTACCACCGCGGCTGCTAGGTCTGATGGGAGGGTCGTTTCGCCCAATGATGCTGGACTGACGCGATCTGCGCCCAAAGTTGCTCAGACTGAGAGACGAATTGTTGTTTGAGCCAAGTCCCAAGTGCGTACTATCATCACCAAGTCCAAAGCTTTCGTCGAGGTCGAGAAAAACGCTGTCGGCCAAATCAAGCCCGCTTGTGTCTCTTCTGTGTGTTGGTGTGGCTGCCGTTCGTCGTCCACCTTCAACAGAGCTACCAGAATCTCCTTCTTCAGCAGTGCGACTTGTCGTAGAAGTAGGATCCTCCCTGCCCAGCTTATCAAGAGCTGCGTCGCGTCGCCGGTTCGCAGCAAGAACATCTTCCTCGTTGGCCGTGCTAACACGAGCACCCGAGGCTCGCGTTGTTCGTCTACGACCCCTCTCCGGTGACTTGTACTTCTGCTGAGGTCGATTATCTTGTTCGTCTTGCGTATCGGGTGAAGGTGATCGTGCATGAGGTTTGGCAGACTGTGCAGCCACACGGCGTGCACGTGTAGCTCGAGGCATTACGAGTGACTATTCTGGTCGATGGTGTCGCAGGAGAGTAATTATGACGAAGAACGGTCAAGTCACCTTTCGCGACTTTGACGGAAGTCGTTTCAAGGGAGGTTTGGGGAGGCTGGTATTGGCAGTATTAGACCAGGTAGGGAACGACCTATGATGATGATATTGTGCAAAAGAGAAACACGCCAAAGAAACGCGACGCGACCAGGGTACGTACTCTGCAGTAGTGGGATTACCCCACTAGAAACATTTAGCTTTTGGCCCGCCATCGAGAACTTCGATCAGCATCAGCATCAGCATCAGCATCAGCATCAGCATCAGCATCAGCATCAGCATCAGCATCAGCAAATCGTTTCTTAATTGAATCTAAGGCTACATATTTAGTTTCCAAATTACTGTTTGATCTCGCACCGTTGAAAGTGTTTTCTTTCTCAAAAATGTATAATGCCTCTATCGAGATATTCATAAAATTCTTGACACATCTATGGAAATCAACTTTATCTAGTCTCATGCCTGTGTTATTGTACATAATCATCCAAAGAATCCTTGCTATCGTACATGGCGCGCATAAAATTAAATACGGGCCTTAAATCAGAGCCGTTCCTCTGAACATACTGTTCTTGACCTCTGCAACAACGTCCTTTCTGTCGTCGTTGCCAACAAGCACGATACCACGACCTCGTCGACCCATTCGTCCAGCACGACCCAGTCGGTGGATAAAGTCAATAGTTGTGTGCGGTACATGGTAGAGAATGACATGACGAACTGCAAGAGTGTCGATACCTCTGGAAGCCAAATCTGTGACAACCAGAACTCTCACGTTGGGCAGAGATCGCTTCTTGGCATTGAGCGTTGGTGTAGGGATTCTGAGAGGGTCTGGAGATGTGAATGTTGCCAAAACCTCGCCATGGCGTTTTTCGGGAGTGTCCCTGTGAAGAGCCTCGGCGTTGATACCCTTTTCTCTGAGATATTCAGCCAACTCTTCGGTCTTTTCTCGCTCGTTGACAAACACCATGATACGACGAACATCGACTTCGCCCTTGACAGGGCCCTCATGGTTGGAGGCTTCGCGACCGATGGAGTAAATCGCATCAGCACAGGCGAGATCCTTGTTGTTACGGTAGGGTTCTCTTGAGACGTCAATGACTCCAAGTTGAACACGTCGAGGAATGGCGTGAAGGTTAGGGGTGGTAATTCGGGTCATCTTGGGATAGTTGGTGGCTAAATAGTTGTTGAGCTTTCGAGGGATAGTGGCAGAACAGCAGACAAATTGCTTCAAGGATGGCATTGCACGCTCGACGATGCTGGTCGTTACAGGTGCGAAGCTTCTGTCGAATAGAGAGTCGGCCTCATCGACGATCAGATGGGTGACACGAGAAAGAATGTTGGGATCAGAGTCGGCGATGGATGCAAGAAGATGAGGTGTCGAGACAATGATGTCAACTCCTCTGGGTCCGTACAAGTTGCGCTGGATCTGCTGTGGCTTCAGATCCGACGAGAGCAGTTCTGTCTTGAACTTGGCGACATGGGATAGCGATTTGGATGTCTTCGTAACCTGATGTGCAAGCTCGGCTGTAGGTACAAGAATGACAACCTTGGGACGGGCCATTGTAGGGTGTGGTTCGTCGAACGGCTTTCCCTTGGAATTGGATGCTAATTGTCGTTCCTTCTCGATCTCCCATCGTTCACGGTATGCCTTCAACTCAGGATCTGCGGCCTCAGCTGTCTTGAGAGCATCGACAGCTGGTAGAAGATACGCCAACGTCTTTCCAGATCCTGTTTCGGCGGCGAGAAGGAATGATCTCATTTCTTCCGATGGCCTCTTAAGGTCATCAGGACTCTTTTGGCCTATCAGAGCGGGGATTGCAAGTTTTTGCACAGGCGTTGGCTTGATATCGGTCATACCCTTGAAGAGTTCCTCGTTGACGGCGACTTGTAGGGCGGGGATTAGGTCGAAGTTATCGAACGAGTCGTATTCGGTCAGGATATCCTTCGTCATCATTCGCTTTCCATATGAGACTGTAGCCAGAGCACGCTGCATCTTGAGTGCCTTTCGATCATCACCATCTTTTGTTCCCCCTCTTCGGTTGTCCCTCTCTCTTGTGTTACTGGGTTTTGAATCCTTTCCTCCTACCACACGTTGCCGACCGGCTCTGCGGGCAGGGTCGACATTGGCGACTCTTCTATTCATTCCACCAAAGGGACCTGGAGCCTCGCGACGTCTTTGTCGGTCATCGCGAGATGGAGGGGCCTGGCCGACTCGATCCGATAGAACCATGCGTGAGGGGCGAGGCTTGAAGTGTTGCGATGCTAAACGTTGGCTAAGACATGGTTGTAAAGATGTTCGAATTATAGCCGCCGGTCGAGATGTGAACATGCAAAGCGAACATATCGAGTTCGCTGCGACACGCTGCATGATGGCGAAGAGCTTTATGAATTATGTAGTAAATGAGTCGTCGCAACAAGTCTTCCTGCTAGAATTTTTTGTTCAAGTCGGCAGTCGGCGTTTTTGCACCGATTACATTAGGTACGTACTGCCGCCCCGCAGTAGACTCTAATGCTTCAGCATCCCACCTTTGACCATTGCTGTTACAAGCATGTGAAAATGAAACTGAATAAACCATTTCGTAATTGCAAATATACGCTATTAGACTTTGAGAAGACCCCCATCAAAAAGTAATTGCAAATGTAGAAAGGATTATCGATTCATATAATTGGTTGATTGTTCATAGCGACAAAATGAATATGGTTCCTAGACGATCTTAGGCCTTGTAGGTCCTCCTGTTATCCACGACTGTCCCATACCTTGGCCGGTGCAATTGTTCTTGATTTGATCCCTGCACGGCCGATATCCCATCCCTATTCTTTATTATATTCTACCCAAGTCGACTCAGAATCAGAACGCTTCATCCACATTACTTGGCTATTCTTCCTAGTGATCAACAGCCTGCCACCACCCTATCCCGATGGCGACTGCAAGTGCTCCTGCTGTGATTATCCTGGTGGCTGTCAGTTGTGTCCCTTTGTCATGAAATCCTCGATCACTCACATAGGTACTACGTTCCCACGAGGGGGCTGAGACGATTCTCCAGAAGGCTTTGTCTTCTTTACTACCTTCTCGCTCTTCGGGATCGGCGCAGGTTGGGCGTCTTGTAGAGAGTGGACAGGCTCTGATTGAGGGCCAGACGGCGTTTCGTACCCCAGAGATTTGGCAGCGAGCGGAGCATTATTCGTTCGACTATCGACCGCTTCGGACTGTATATTGTCCTGAATCCGTTCGGTCGTAACGGCGCTGGGGGCCTTTTCGTGTTGGGTATTCTGGGCCGGATAACTTTCAACTTGAGATGGTGACTCGCCACTTGTCTTCGCACTGGGCTTTACCTCAGACGTCTTCATGACAACAGCTTCGTCCTCCTCGCTAGGGGGCGACTTTTGCCCAAAGACTTTGTCTTTCGAGTTGGGGTTCGGTAGAGACACAATAGGTGGGCCCTTCGATTGTCTGTTGGGAGAAGGCTTAGGCTCCTCTTCTATTGACCCCAGAGATACGGCCGAGCGGGTTCTTCCGAAGCTGTGAGAAGGTCTGCTATCACGTTTTCTAGTAACGGTAGGACTGAAAGACGCAGGGGACAAGCACAAGTCATCATTAGAATCCAGACTAGTTCTTCTAGACGAGATCACACGAGGTGACGAGGGAATGTCGTCGAGGTGAGTCTGGTCTTCTCCAAGGTGTGTCTGAATGGAGCGTATGGTACCGAGGATTGAACCACGGTCGGATGGAAAGCTTTCGAGAGTAGGGTCGTTCACGTCGAGTTCGGACGTCTTATCGCGCATCGTTTTGACTTTCGAGGCCTGTCTCGGGCTACTGTTGGCGTTCAGAGTGTTGTCATGTTCTGCGTCATCTCCGAAATCGTAAGCACCCAAGCACTCATGAGCAAACAGCGGCATCTTCATCTCCTCAGATTCGTCTTTAGAATCATCAACAAGCGATTCGTGGGCAAACAGAGGCGCCTTAAAATCCTCAGGGTCTTCATCCTTGACATCGTTGCCCAGAGATTCATGCGCGAACAAGGGTATCTTGTTTTCTTCGTTGTCTTCTTCGGTGTCTTCTTCGACATCGTCGCCTGGCGACTCATGTGCGAATAGTGGTACCTTGGAATCTTGTGTGTCACTCTCCACATTGTTCACTTCCGAAGGTGTCACATTCGACTGTGTGGCAGGGTTCAACTTGATTTCCGGTGTATCAATGCCAGCTGGGGCAATTTGTTCTTCTGCGGGTTTCTGTGTGTGGACAACATTGTTCTCGTTACCAGAGTCGTCGGTTGCTTGGGAATCTCATCAGCAAAGGTTCGAGAGATAGTGGTCGAGCTGAACTCACCTGTGGGGTAGTTCTCTGCCAGAACCCAGTTATCATGCCCTATACGAAGCTTGAATTGGTAGTCCTGTTCAGGCTCAAGCATAACTTCAGATTGGAACGTATGCTCTCCATTTTGGTCAGAAATACATTCCATCTCTTGGAGTTGCCATTGTGGATCCGAGAAAGAGCCTGCGAGGAAAACGGGAGGTACGATTCCAGGCTTGCTGTAAGTGATGGTAAACGGCGTTTTGGGCGACATGGTAAGGTTTGATGCGCTATTGTTGTCAGTAACCCGCGGCCTGGAAGTGAATGAGGCCGTAGCGCTCACCTGAGTTAGTGATTAAAGACAGTGCAGAGGTGCGGCACGATCAAGTGAGAAAGATTAGGTCTGGAGTGGTAAACTGTCTTGCAGTTGATACTATGATGGTTCGAGCGGGCGAGAATCGAATGATGAGCAGGGGTGTCTGTACCACTGCTGGCGAGCTGCGATAGTCTAGAAATCACTATAGCGGCATCACGGCAGATCGACCATGTATGATAGGATGCGAGGTGTGAAGTCAGGGTGAGGAATTGATGTAGGATGATGCGAAATGAGGGTGAGGTGAAGTGAGGTGCAGGATGACGAAGGTTTAGGTGGTAAGTACTGTATTGATGTGAGGAGAGCCAGAAGGAGGAGGCGGCGGGATGACGACAGGTCAATGCAACACCAACCTTGAGGAAAACCAATGTCGAGACTGAGGTTTATCGACGCACGAATAGGATGATTGTTGAGGAAGAGAACGAAAGTGAACAAGGGAGAGGAAAGAATACCTGGAGCTTGCGGTTGGGGTCAAACACGTGAGATTGAGGCGATTGACTTTTACAAGTCACTTTTAGCACGACCGAGGGAGGATACCGGCCTACCAAGACCTCACTACTACCTAACTGAAAGGCCAAGGACGTCATCAAGGGAGGAGATGACGAGGGAGGATATACTTCGCGTCCAGCTCAAAGCGAACATCGGGACTTGCAATAATTAACTTTGACGGTTTGAGCAGATTACATGGCTATTTCTACTTATTCTGAACGTTTAAGGATTTCCACCCGTCAGAGGTGCGCTTTTTGTTGGTGTTGAAAATCAGACACAGTCCGGGCCGTCTGGGGTTAATCACGATCTGCAGAAACGGGCCTATACAGTGCTATACTGTACTATGTACCAATTAGCTTTGGTGCCTTGTTTGGTAGCTGCAGATCGACAACAGTTGATCTGCTACCTTTATTTCTACTGGATAGCAGTTATTGATCGCTCGATTCCGTGTGCTGAACCTACTCAACTGAATTTTATCAAAGTCAGTAGTAGGAACCAGCCAAGTATCAGTAGCCACCCGCAGGTTCATTGTGCTGCAGGCAGCTCAACTTGGAAAGGGAAAATTCGGCCGTGAAACCATGGACATTGACTCAATGAATGGGTCTTTTGGAGCAAAGTGAACCGTGCGCCCCGCATTCCAACCGTTTTCATGATGGTGCATGTCCAGTATAAAAATGGCGCCAGTTGAGAAACATGATATGACTCTTTAATCTCCCTCCAAACATATGATGATTGAAAATGGGCGGCTGATATGGGTGACACTTCTCAGAATTATCATTCCTCTAATTCTTTGCTTTGTCTAGCCCAGTTTTACATGGGAGTGCTTTCGGAGTATCTCATCCGTCAATTTACGTTGCATCCCCACTTCCCAGCTCTTTCTCCATGAAACCAATGGCAATGGCTGCAATAATAATACCAAACAGCCATTTTGTAGCCAACTCCAGGAGAGAATAATTATAAAGGACTCCCGTCCTATGCTCGAACACTATGATATGTCTGTCTATCATATAGCCATTCGAGCCTTAATGCACTCTCTTTCTACCTAAAGCCAAACAGAAGAGCATCAAAAAGCATGGGAGGTGTAGACTAACCTCTAAAAAGATGCCACTACAGAGTAGCCACTACTAGGTAAGCATATGATAGCCCCACTCTCCCGGAGGCTCTGCCTTTTGGTCATGGCCCCACCGGAAAGTGGCCAGTGGGCAATAGAAAGATTAGCATCCTAAATCTTAGGGTACAAAAATAAACAGCCTAAGAGGTCTGGTCTAAGCAGCATAAATTGACCTACTAATTTCGTCTCTTATGTTTGCAACAGCTAATTTTTCTGATACCCTGAGGAGTAGATGAAATCTTCTATAAACTCCTAACTTTAGTTCTCGCGATTTTCAAAGTTGAATACTGACTTTCTCCCTTGCTCTGCAGCTTGGAATCAGAAGGTGTCTCAAAAGTAACTTTATTTTCAAATAATACAACAGCAATACCTACCTGCGCAGCAACCCACTTCTTCGTCCTTCAGCACATCCTACATATTCAAACCCCTAACAAAAAAAAAAGCCACTTATCTACCTAGTAGGCGGGCAGGTATCAACTTCTGACCTCATCGTTCGCAGCGCATACTTTCGCAAGCGGCTCAACTAACAATACATGCGCATCCGGCTCTTGGGGACCAAGTCATCATTTCATAGATATGTAATCGAACCGCTCTTACATCTATTTTTGCAATCCGTTCAGGTGCGTCGCATAAAAACCGACCCCACTAGCTTCGTGGTTGATAAAAATATTAGATCAGCCTTAGTGGTTATATAACCTAAGGGAGCACTAAGAATTTCGTCCGGCCTTTTTCCAATCCATATTTTTGCGACCCGCCTGCTTTCAAAGACTCCATCACCGACGACCTTGCTGGCATCCATTCTCATCATCACCCCAAGAAATCATGTCTTCTATTCCGCCCCAACTCATCCGCGTCAAGCGAAAGCGCGACGACGAGTCACCTGCTGTGACTTTCCTCCGTATGCAATCTCATCCGGCCTCTCTCATTGACTTCTAATTTCTAACTCCCATCAGAGCTTGACGAAGGCGCAAAACGTCATCGGAACGACAGCAATTGGGTTTACCAGAGACGACTCCCCGGGCCTCAGTCTTCAGCAGTAGAAGCTCCCAGTCTACCCTCTCGAGACCCAAAACCCGTCATTCACGTCTCTGGTCCTGGTGATGTATCCGAGACAAGGAAGACTGTTCCCCCCTCTGTGGGCGACATCTCATCAGATTCAAACCTGATCGACCCATCCACAATACCCGAACATCGACGTTTCCATATTTCCAAAAAGATGATGATGGCCTCGAGCGCAACTCAAAACTTGGGCACCGGCCTCAACAAGCGACCACGCTATGGACCTGCTGTCTTTGTCGAACGAAGTCGCGCCAAGGCCAGTCAACGAGCATCGAGAGTCCGGGAGTCCATCAAAGAGTCAATATCACTACCAGCTGGTCAGATAATTGCTGGTGTGACAATAAACAACCAGCCGCAACAGGAGCGACGCCTTAAGAAACCAGCAGCGAGAAGCAGACAGAATTCTCCCCTACCAGACGCCAATTCTCGGACTCCACTCCCAGTCATGAACCCTCATAACCAGGACATATCCAAGATGGCGGCTGATATGAATAACTGGGTCATGAAAGAGATTGGCGCCAACCTCGAGGAAATGGAACAAGAAAAGCATAAGACCAGCAGGTTCAAACCCAAGGCCCCAGCTAAACGATACCAAGAACGTCACCCGGGAGTAGACACCACCAACACCAACGATGTGGATATGACGGAGAACAGTGATATGGAAGATGATGGCGACTGGGTCATCGAGGAATACGTTCGAATCCCTGCGCACGCTATGACGGTCAACGTAGCACCAACGGATGTCGGTGTATTAGTCCTTGACGGCAAAGAAGAAAGCAATCTGTTTTTCGGTCCTGAACGTGACGAGGACGAAGAGTTTGATGAGGACGATGAGGATGAAAATGGTGAGTCACTCTATTCCTGTGCTGCATCCAGTGATCAAAAGGCTAACACCCTCCCAGCCGAGAATTACTACACGGCAGATTATCCAGAGGAAGAGGTGGATTCAGATGATGAATTCGGGCGTCATGCGTACGGTTATCGCAACGGAAATGCCTCCGACGACGAGGAATTTGACAACATCTATTACGACGAGAGCGACAACGATATGGTCCTTGACGGGGACGACGAAGATGCCACAATGGCTCGTATTAGGAACTACGTGAAACGTAGTGGTGCCTTTGAATAACTACTAGACCAGTCTAAAGATTATAAGGCGTTACACTTTCAACCAAAAGAGGTTGACGGCTAGAAGCACATGAGACGAAATTAGTAGGTCAATTTATGCTGCTTAGCCTATAGTTCTTAGCTTAATTGTTTTTTTACCCCAAGACTTACGAGGTTAACTTTCTACTACCTAGATTGGCACCACACCACCACACGGAGATCATACACTAAGAGACAGTGCCCTCAGGGTATCAGAAAAATTGACGGCTGGAAGCATAAGAGACGAAATTAGTAGGTCATTTTATGACCCTTAGGCTATAGTTCTTAGATTACTTGTTTTTATACCCTAAGACTTAGGAGGCCATTTTTTCTGCTACCCAGTAGAGTGCTTAATTGTCAAATATTCTTCTCTATTTCTTTATTCATAGGACCCTAGGTTATATAAGCCACAACGGTGTGCCCCTGGGGGCGACACCATCGTCATTCGTCACGCTAACCAAACACGCATCTCAATCAACGACCAACGACACAAGCAACAACCCTAATCCGGAATATCTAATCATTGTTTGCCAAATGAACAGACTCGAAAGAATCCTTCACACGGTGAGAAGCCTTTGAGTGTTTGCTTGTTGGGGAGTGTGGAGGAGGAGGCGTACGAGGGGCCTACATCCTCGAGACAATAGCTGGTTTGTACGCCAGGTTTCTATTTCTCAATGTATAAAGTGGCAGATCGATGACTGGGATCCCATATTCCCATCGTGTAGGACGAAGGACACCTGCATCGATGCGACGCCTAGCTGCACCATCCTATAGGCACGTGCCTCGAGACATCCTGACTTTTCAGCCCTGCACTAACGGCCTGTCCCGATTCCACTCTGGGGATCTTCATGTTTGTCCTCGCTCTGTACTACAGACGCGAATGCCGAAGACTAAGTGGGCTCGGGTGGTTGGCAATTGCTTGTATCAATGGGTAGTCATGGCGGCTTCGTGATGCCAAGATGTGACATGATGAAATGTTTACTAGGTCAACTTTCATTGTTTCCAGACGCCAACGAGGCCGCAACAGACATCACCATGCACAAGCTTTTCGCCAAGTTCAGATTAGACAAGAAGTCTTGTAGGATATTAACAAATATAAATTTTACGTGCTGACTGTCTCCAAATAACGCCACTTTTTCCCTGATCCGTTTCTCTCATTATTTTGGGTAATCGTTCGTGACGTCTAGTAATACAGGGCGCAATGATGATAGCAGTGTCTTGGCCTGATCATGTCGCAACCCTCCTGTTGTTCGGTGCCGCCTCTTTCTGGCCTGTCTCAGTCGACCCCCAAGGCCGCTAACAATCATACAAACGTTCCGGTAGGTAGAAATGCAATGGAATGTACGTGCATGACAAAGGAGACTAGTTACATGTTTGAGGGTATGATGTGTACATGTAATACGTGATATTCGTGTCGTCGGAAATTCGGTCGTTTGTAGGCGTGATATAGAAAGCTTGTGCAAAAAAAAGAATAAAACAGAACGATTCGCTTGGTGATAGTGTGGTCAATGCCACTTCATCCGTATTGTCGCCGTTAGGTCAATCCAATTCACTTGTTGGTGGGCCCTGTTTTGAGCTTGGTGGCAGTATCGTTTCGCTCATCATAGCTTGAGGCGACGCTGCTCCTTTCTTCGGCGTCGCTCTCGCCTGTCGCGATATTGCATAGCTCGCTTTGCAGCTGCAAATATTGTTAGTTTCGTATGTAAATGTTGTGGTAAAACACGTTGTACATACCCCAGTCGCTGGACTTGAATTTGATCTCAGGATCAACCCAAGAGTAGTGGATAGCCCTCTCAGGGTACCGTTGGGCGAGACCAAGTGGCTCTGAGGGTTTATCCTGGCTGTCGCGTTCACGACACTTGATACTGACATGTTGAGGTTCGAGGTCGTCTTCGTCATCGAAGCAAAGCCAACCCTCCTGATCCCAAATAGGTATGCGTTGGTTCATACGATAATACCAAGCTTGGAGACCTTGGACAGTACGCTCGGGTGTGTTCCCAAATCTCGCAGCAAACTCCTGCTTAATTTGCTGCCATTTCATCTTCTTGTCGTGCCATGCGTAGATGATATAGTCACCCTCTTCTGTGGTATACTTTTGGTTGATATGACGGCTTTCGCCCCCTTCTGGGGGTGGGCTTGGGTAACAGTCCATGCCTGGCAGGCCCTGAAGAGATTGACTGCTACCATATCTGTAGTACGTGTCTGGGTTGCTGAAGCTGCTCATAGATTGCCGTGAATAGTCGGCGGGAAAAGGGTACTGGTTAGGCCTGAGGATAGTCCCTCGCCTGGAGTTTGATTGTTCGCTGACCATGTTCTCGGTGGAACTGTTTCTCATAGACCATGATGGCTGAGGTTGTGTGATAGAGGCTAAAGGTTCAAGAACAGTCGGGTTGCGAGTGAGTCCATGAAGTGGAGATAATATGGCCTCGGTCTTCACAGGTCCATGTGCTCTGATGAGATCCTCTACACCTTGGTCGAACTCTCCTAAACTAGGGAGTTTCACAGGCGAGCTCACTTCAGTCGGTACGACATTGCGTAGCCCTGGGAGGCTTGTAAACTCTTGAGATATCATTAGAGATCATGCCATCGAACCATATGAAATAGGCCATGACTTACCCTCAATCTTCACCTTGGGGCTTCCTGACGTTGAGCCTGGTGGGGTTTGGCCTTGAGTTGTGCGGTAGTAGGTGTGTGTCGGGTTCGGGCTGTTCCTCAAAGGTCTCTGAGTTGCCCCCTCCATTGTGAGGAATGGATAAATGCTCATGTCGATGACTGTCACACAACAAGCAGATGAGAAGATGTAAATGGTTTGGCTATTTGTTATGTTCCAGAGTTGTTTGTTATGATTCAGGTGGAAATGGTCCGCCTCTTGAAGAGGTATCAGGGAGGCGGCAGACAATAGTTGCAAAATTTGGAGGCTGGCGGGAGGGCAAAGACAAGCCGAGACTAGAATACGTCTTCGTTGACGAGACTTAAGTAAGGGGACAAGGGCGAGAGAATCGACTTGAGGAAAGAAGGGAGGATTTGTGCCAGGAATATCTCGTAGAAATGCGGGTACCTTTCTCGAAATATAGATGTCTCGAGGAGGGGGCTTTAGCTCTCTTGTATTCAAATGGTGATTCGTCCGAGGTCGATATGTTGGTAGAGTGAGGGAATGTTTGATGGCTTTACAAGAGTAAACTTTCGATTCCTATTCTTTTGTTTGGTACCTGAGCCAGCGGGGATAAGCCAACATCAAAGGAAGACGAGATGAGTGATTGTCTCGACTTATGAAGGGGTCTGTGTGCCACCCCTGCTCGACAGATAGACACTACCAACAGTCTAACTTGGCGTTAGCAAAGCGCCTCCTCGGGGACACACTCCCCGCCATCAGAGGAGACAAGGTGGAGCGAAGAAGCAAAAGCATCAACCGGGATGATATCCGTACCTGAGGCCATAAAGACAACTTCTTGCGGATTCTACACTGGGTCGGAGCACCGCCCCTACATCGGAGAGTATCCTGTCAGCACCTGCAGACGTCTACTAGGGCGCCCGCCCGCACCGGGACGATCATCCTGTTTTGCCTGGCCGTTTTCTGTACGCTGCTTTATCGCTATCTCTAGTGGGGATCTACAGTCATGTATCGTATGAATGATGCATTTGAACCAGCATAGCACATGATGGTAGAACTGGAGTCCTTCGCACAAGTATTCCACCAGATGGCATTGCCCCAGACCAGGTTCCCGGTGTGATCTCCCGTTCACAAGCAGAGAAGCATAGGTGAAGGATTGATAATGAAAAGGAAAGAGAAAAAGGAAACGGGCAAAGTACCCGCCCCGAGGTTTCAAGCAAGCCTGTGGAACCCATATCGCGTGGAAGCAAGGGGAGGGTAGGTGGGCGGAGTAGATCATCCCGTAATAACGATAGCAGGTACGTACACAACTCCGGACCTTGGCGCACAGTATTGATGCTTGTAATCCTTGAAGCAAGCGACTCAAAATAAAGCAAGGCGGGTGGTGGATTGCGAAAGAAAAGTAGGGATCCTTGATGAGTGTTGCAGGAATAAGTCAACAACCGATGTACTGCTCGGGTGAGCAAGTATATTGTCCACCTCTTTTTACTGAGATATTCGATTCCCTGCCATTTTGCGAATCACCTAAGAGATTGGCTCACACTCATATCGAGGGAAATATTTGCAAAGCCATGTCCATCCTGGCAATCGCTCATCTGACGACGTTGCCATGATCGAGTGCTGGGATGTGCCAGCCAAGTTCAAGGCACCCCGGCTCTTCTTGTGACTTAGACTGACCCGGATAGCATAAGTAGCCGTTCATTTGAGATCGCGTTAAGCCGAATTTGCACTGTCCGGGACTAACCCTGCTTGCTTACATAGATCCCAGACAGATCTCGCTTGGGGTGGGCGCAAAGGGTATTGGACAAGGGTTGCCACTGTGCTGGACCAACCCCGCTGCTACTTTGGGTGCCACAAGTAGCAGGCTGGCAGGGCTAGTTTGTAGAAATTTTGTTTGCTTTGATAACTCGATATAGTGTTGGTTGGTTGCTGAAGCAGTAGCGCGTGCGCCTCAACCGTCCCGCCGGGTCAAGCTGGGGGTGTGGTTTTCTTAATTATTCCCCTCTCAAAAAGCCCGTGTTAATAAGAGGAAAATCTACCTAGAAGACTTGGCACCATGTACAATTGAAACCCAGCCAGATCTCGATACCATACACGTGTATGTGTTTTTTTTTTTTTTTTTTTGAGTAGTGGCTCCTGACTCAAATGGGTAATCTGGATTGTGTAAAGTGACAACCGCCACAGTTACAGCAGGTTCATATAAGGACACTGTGGGGATAAAACGAGCGTCTGGCCATAGCGGGGACAAACAGTATGAGGTCAGGGGCAGCAATGCGAGTTTTGTTTCAGTGAACCAATTAAAAGACAAGCCAAGTAGTACACGAATGGTATCGGGCATTCTGCAACGTAGACCTCAGCTGTAGTACTGTAGAAACTTGCCTACTTGCCTGCCGTTATAGTACAGTAGTGGAAGATTAAGGGATAGAAGAACGCATTGAGACGTCTCACGTTCAAGCAGCGGTGTACATGGATATATGCACTTTGATACATATGCTAAAGAAAAGAAGAAGAAAAAAGAAAGCAATAGTGGACGAAAGCTGGAAACTTTACAAAAGACTGTCAAATCTGACAGGTATCTTGTGTAGGAGGTATTGCTCCGCTTTGGTGCAGGTAGCTCATCAGTAACAAGCCCAATTTTGAGCCTCGACAAGTCATTTCTTCTAGTGGAAAATGTGTGATGGCTAGGCTGTGTGCCTTGTATTGATGATGTCGATGCAGGGTCATGTCAAGCCCAGCTTGGCTTATCTTGAAAGGCTAGCCTGTAGCATCGGAAAAGACAGAAGAGATCTTCCGTCTTGAAAGGTCTAGGCCACGGGTTTTGATCCTCTCGTTCCTTGAAAGCCTGGAAGCTCACCCGTCAACATGACTTGATCGTGACGATTTAGGTCTGAGGTGACAATCACAATTCGGTCTGCAAGCAGGCCAGCGCTCGCAATGCACGAGTTTCCAAATGTGCAGCGAAAAATCGGACTGGTGATCTATTCATTGTGTCAGAAATCAAATCTTCAGTATCATAATCGGACACTTGCAGCCGGCGGCACATCCAGATCGATGGCAGCCATTCGAGTCAGACTCAACTCAGTATAGGCGCGCTGCAATAGCGTCTGGGGCGCCGTCATGGTATCGTGATATCCCTAGGTCTCGTGGAGCCATGCGGTCGAGCGTCATCGGCTTTTCGCGCTGAGAGCCAGCCGTGGTCAAGGAGAACTGTGTCACCAACAGATGACGGTTTTGCTTTTTGCTATTGTTGCTTTGGCCAACACAGCGAATAGCGATGCACACTGGGCAACCAGCCACACCTCACCAACCCCAATTTGGCTAACGTTGCAGAAAGATGTTCATGGCGGTGTCGAGAGTCTTCATACTGTACTGCATGTACGGTCGCAGGTTGAGAAAAGTGAGAGATGACGGATATACCATCGGCAAGGATGAGGATTTAAGGATCAAGTTTACGAGAATGTCGGTCAATTCAGTTGTTTCAGCTGAAACCTGAGGCATCTTCAACAACCGCTTGGGTAGAAGCACTTATGGACCTCGATGGGAAGGAAGGTGACTTCTATTCCGTTGAGCGTTGAGCCTCAAGTCCTGGAAACCGGGAATAGGAACGTGCTTTCTTTCCGTGTGCTTTAGTTAAAGACAACAACATAGCATGTTACCTTTCGTTGAAACCCAAGCAAATGACCCAAGCGCCTGGCGTCTGCGGCGCTTCGGAATCACTTTGTACCAATTATTCTAGGTAATTAAGTATATAATTCTCCAATACTCCGAAAGCTATCGGACACAGCGCATTTCAATCATATCAATCACAAATCTACCTCAAAATGGCAATACGTATTTAATTTCAATCGTTGTAGTTTTCTCTCCTTCTTTCCTCCTCAATTTCACCTCTTTTACACTACAAAATGGGGCCAAAAGTCACTATGACCAATCGAGATTAACTAACCTAGCAAGTAACTACCAAGAGCCTGCAACAATAAGCAGGGAATGCACAGATGACACAACCCATGCAAAGTGTCTAGCTTTATAGGTAGGTATTCCACCAAACTAAGGTTTCTCTTGATATGGCCAGCCTACAGCGCTATCTTCCGGATCTTGTCCCCGAGCCAAGCACTAGCCTCCTTACCTAAGAGATATTGAGACTGGGAGATCACCTCGAAGGATGATGGCAACGACTATGAGGAGCTTCTCCAACGCATCAGCTTCAAGTTGAGCCCCGATCATCCAAATTTCGTACAGTACACCACACGGATAACATGAGCCGTTAAACATTCAACAAACCTCGTTAACGGATGTTTGCTATTTGTTGAAAGACTCTTGTTGGTTGCTAGTCAACGGTCAGCCATCGGAGAAATGTTTCCAACTCAATCGGAGAGGAACAATCGTTCAATCGAACCACCTTTGCCTATAATGATAACCTACCCGAGCAAGGCGTCTTCTACAGTGCAATTCAACGTCAGCAACATGCCTGATTCGATCGTCCCAGTGAAGCAGGGGTCTGAAGATGCGACACATTCTGTCACTTCTCACCATGGATTTGGCCCGCATCTAGATGGAGATGTCGATTTTTTCATGCATTGGACGTAAGGGAAGATCCCTTACGGAACGAGAGCGCTGACATGTCATCTTTCAGCTGACTCGCTGTCTCTCAGCGAAATTAATCAGATATGAAACGCGCAATAATACACAGTAATGTCTTTCTTGATTAGCCAAGTAAATATTTACTGGAACTTGAGCTTAGACTGGTCTTTACTAGGGTTGCAGATCAGTGCTTCTTCGACTGCCGCATAATGCAAGCAAGCACGTGAACTTATCTAATGCCAGGGGTCCAACCCATTTGCTGAGGCTTCGTACGGATACACATGGACATCTCGGGAATAAACCAACATCTCTTTGCCGGCAGTTCCGTACCCTTGCCATTTACGTGGTTCTATTTCTAGCCCTTGCTCCTCGCAAGGGTGCATTCGGTTTTAATCAGCTCTTTGGGATTAGCATGAGAGTCAAGGGTAGGACACGAGCAGTTTGACAAGTTTCAGATGAATTGTAAGTTGTTCGACAATCGATTTATCAGAAATATGTCATCAGGGTCTGAATACGCGTTGGTAGCATTCGAATCCTCCGGGACACGGATACGCCACGGTCAATTACCGACTCAAAACCACGGGTCCGAAAACGTTGGATGTTGCTTTAATAAACATATCGTGGAGCCTCAACCAGAGTTAGTTTAGCATCTACTAGCAGTATATCCGTAAACTCACCACTAACACCACTTGCGAATCACATGGAAATCTCTATAGCTTGGAATCGATATCGCCTTGTGACATGGAGCCAGTTCCGGGAAAAGATTCATCTCCGGAAAATCGCCTGTGTTCTGAGTTAGCACGGTCCAACATCTGGAGGCAAGCGAGTGAAAGCAAAGTCATTGTCAACCAACTCACCAGCCTCGCTCTTCTCCAGAGCTCAGAAAACTACAGTCGCTGTCCAATTCGCACTGCCACTCCCCAAGCCTGATAGGGATGGCTTCGCTTAAGGGTTGGGATTCGTCTGCATCGTTGTGTTTGTTAATTTACTGCCGCCAAGATCCTGTCACTTGACAACCACTGCAGAGTAAACGTACCAGTGCTTGGCACTTGCGTGCCTGTGCCTTGTCGACGACGGCGGTACGTGCTCAGACCGCACGTAAAGGCGTGAAAATCTTCTTCTTCGACAGCTTCGGGGACACGCCCTGTGAGGACACGGCCCAAGGCTATGACAACGGCTGCATGGGTGCAGAGCACTACCGCACGGTTTCCCTCTGCATCGCAACGCTCAATGATGCCTCGCACGGCCGATGCAACACGCCCATAGAGGTCCTCGATCGTTTCGCCTTTTCTAGAAGGCTTTATGGCAGATACGTAGCTATCATCATATGCTGGGAATAGCTCCTTGAGTCGCTTATGCGAAGCTGGGATCGGATGGTCGAAAGGCGCTGCCCCAAAGAACTCACCCAACCCGTGTTCTGGACAAATTGTGGCGGCCGCCGAACCTTGTGTCGTTCTTGGTTCCTCTCTGAGTCGTTGCTGCTTGAGCTCAACAAAGGGCGTTATAGTCTGAAGACAGCGATAGTAAGGGCTGGAGTACACGGCATCGATGGGAGGCTCCAGGGTTATGAGATGTTTGCCCATCTCTTTGGCTTGCGAGACTCCATAAGACGTCAGGGCAGGATCTGCGGGAATTCCAGTGGGAGACCGTATGGCGGCCGTGTAGACGCCAGTCAAAGGGTCAACACTCCAGCCGGACCGGAACTAAACTCCAGGCCAGTCTATCAACACCGGGAAAAGGAGATATATACAACCAAACATTGCTTGAGGGCGGGGTCGGAACTTACTCCGTGACGTGTGACGTAGATGACTTCCAGTGACATATTTCCTATGTGTACTTGTGGGATTGACCGTTTTGAGATAAATGTGCTATCCAAGTTCTTGTTCTGGTGTTCGTTGTGAGGACTCGGTAGGCAATGTGCCCGGGACCTCGGTGCTCGGCAGACCACATGCCTTTTCAACGACACGGCCCCACAGCTCCCCGAAAAGTCGTCGACGGATGGCCGAGATATCGGAGCCGCTCTGTGCTACAACGGTCAAGGTTCTTGAGAGCACAGAACTTTCCTTGATGTTTTAGTATGTCGGGAAAATTAATAATACGCCGCTGACATCGGAGAGAAGGAGTCCGAATCTTCAACGTTTTGAAATGGGGCGATCAAAATAGCGTCAAACTATTGTTTAGACTAGGTACGTTGCCAGCCGCTTCGTTTCGTCCGGTCCAATCCTGAGCCTGGTAATATAATCGGCTGAATTCCGATGACGCGGAAATGTAACTTGGGATGAAGAAATTATAGGTAGGAGATGAGCATTACACAGTCACGCAAGAAATGTCATTGGCGGATTCGGTCCGTCAAAACCTCAATTAGTACTGGATTTAGCTTCAGACTAGACAAGGGCTTCAATTGAACTTGACGACAACATTTGCGAATCTGGACAAATTGAGTCGTAATCCTTGTCGACGTGGCTATCACCACGCCCATAGACATCAAAGAACAGAACGCCCTTCCAAGGCTTGATCAACGTAAAAGTTCCTCCAAGTCCTCAGGCATATTCGGCATAAACCCAAAGTGCCAAGACATACTCTAGGGTAGCTGAATTAAGGTGGTGGGTTAGCGTGAAGGTTGTGGATTAAGTGGCTCACGTCAGCCATAAGCCATTTTAACGGCTTACACGAATTCTCATGAGAACTTCATTCTGTATATTCAAGTTCCTTGGTGCTATCTTCATTGGGATATACTTCATATATATCAATCAAACCCGATAAAATGGTTCAGGACCGTACAGTTGCTTCTCAGCGCTCAGCAAACGCGAGTCAAGCATCGCAAAGTGGTTCATCAGCTATCAAGAAGAAAGTTGTGCGACGTGATCCAGAGAAGAGACGCATGCAGAACCGCTTAGCTCAGCAGAACTACAGTGAGTTACCAAGTATAGGGTAGTATAATATTCACTATCCTGATATAAGCTTGTCATGCGTGGTGGCTGACATGATCCTTCTCCAGGGCAAAAGCAGAGAAAGCGCATACAAGAGCTAGAGCGCCGTGCTGCGGGACATGGCACCGAGGTACAAGGAGAGGATGATAGGGCTCTTGACAAGACACAACTGATAGGAGACCTTATACCAAGGCCCGATAGAGGTAGTCTTCCAGATATAGAGACTGTCAACCCTTTAGATCTCTACAACGACCCTGAGACGTCAGCGCTACACCAATCAACCACACATGCAGAGACATGGGACTCGGATGTTTTTTACGAGGACTTTGACAAGTGGCTCACAGCAAATCCTATTTGCGATGAGCACACAACGCCGGCGTTAATGTTCAACTGCGGCTGTCCCACTCTTCACGTACCCAACACGTCGACAGAAGTCCTGCTCCCCATCATCCCCAACCCATATAAGAACAACCTTCAAATCGACATCATTTGCATAATCTCAGCTATGCTAGAGAACTGTCTCTGCCTCGGGATAACGCGTTCAATGTACTGCGCTGAAGAGGCTACGTCTCCTTTCTATCGGGCTGATGTCGACTCAGACCCCAGTGCGCAAGCTATCGTTGTATCTGTTCAGCGCGGGTCTCGCGGACTCCATTTTGACCTTCGTCCCACTCAGACACAGATTGTTGTCAAGCATCATCCGTTCGTTGACGTAATTCCGTTCAAAGAGATCAGGGATAATATCATCAAGTACATGAATCCTACAGATGAGGATGAGTTCTTTCATGACTCGTTGAACCACTTGACATGCTGGGGAGGTGTCAATGGTGCACATACTGGAACACCCTGGGACGCGAGAAGCTGGGAGGCAACGGAGGAGTTCCTGCAAAAGTGGTCAGATATTGTAGGAGGCGAAGAAGGTGAGCTGGCGAGGAACTCGCAGTGGTGGAGATCATTTCGTGATGAGCGAACGGTGACGGAGATAATGTGATATCAAGATATCGACGGACGTGATAGTTGGGTGCGCACTTAAAATGAATTGACTTGAATTTATGTACAGCGTGTTTATATGTCTATACAGATGTGCACAATATCAAACAAAAGACAATATGGACAAGATGTGCGAATCTAATGCCATTCTGGCATGGCCATGTCTGAGGAGAATACCCTGATCTACCACAACGCCATCATAAAAAGAAAGAGCAAAATCAGCCTGTCCCAGATTTAACTCCTGATCCTTTACCCAGGCCCCGTACTCCGAAAGAAATATGTTTCCAAACAGGTTCGTATGCCATTCTTCTGCATGTTATGTCATTCATGTCATAACCCTGGCTTACATGACAGTGCATGAGCCCAGGGTGCGTGCCCTCCGGCGACCGGTAGGACCAAAGCCACCGTCCTCCTCATCGAGATGAAGGGCCTGGGCTTCTCTGGCTCGACGCCTGCGTCTTCGGTAACCAGCGCCCGTCATGCCTGCTTCTTCGGTGGCCTGCATGTAATCTGCCCACTTCCTCTCCAGACGACCGGCGGATGCCAGATCACCCCGCAGAACTCGCTTTTGATGCTCATCTACAGTCATCTGGAAGCCGTAGAAACACTTGAGCCCAATCATCTCGGTCGGGTAGCTGACTCGGTCGGGTTGGCCTGAAACTTCCTTGACTTGGGTGTTTCGGAAAAGCACCTCGCGGACACCGGTCCAGGTGACGTTTTGGCAGTCGTAGACGACCATCTGGAGGCTAAGTTTAGGCCGTGTGCCATTTTTAATTGATCGTTCAGAGCGCTTCATGACCATGGCCGCTGCCTCGGCGAGGACGAGATCGCTGACTCGAGTATTATCGAGGTCGATGTTTTGAAGATTCGTGCATGTCTGCATTACAGGAATCATTCCTGTGTCACCCAGGTTTTCGCAGTAACTCAGGGAGAGATGTTCTATCGAGGCCGCGCAAGGAGCCTTGGCAAGATGCTCTGACAAAATCGAGTTTGTGAGATTCTCGAGGTCCTCAAGTTCGAGATGTGTTAGTCTGGGAGTGGATGAAAGAATAGGTTCAAGAGCGTCATCGCTCAGCAGCTTGCAACCAGAAAGCTGCAGGCCCTCAAGGTCTGGGACCAAGTGTCCTATCGTCTTGACGCCTGCATCTGTGAGCTGAACGCAACGGCTGAGATCCAGATGTCGAAGCTTCCTTGCAGGGACAATTGGTCGATCGGTCAGAATATCGATTTCGGGCTCAACGCCATGCATCATAATCTTGAGAGCTTCATCATTAAACTCGGCACATCCACTCAAAACCAATCTTTCCAGGTTATTTGTCTTGAAGATGGCTTCGGCGGTCGCAACGTTGTCGAAACCGCTAACCTCGCCAGCGCGGAGATCCTTTAGTCTCGGGCAAGCCTCAACAACTCCCTTGACACCTTTAGCATTCACCTTGCCGCACCATGAAATGTTGAATGCTTCAAGTTGAGGGCACGATTCAGCAATGATTTTGCAAGATGTGTTAGAGACTGCGGTCAACCCAGTAAGATTGAGGCTGACAAGCTTCTCGTTGCTTCGCAACAAGCTATGGAGCGTACTCTTTTGGAAGTTCTGGCAACCTTCCAGTGTCGCATTCATGAGGTTTTTGCATGCCTTGACGATAACCTCGGTGCGCTTGTAGTGCTCGACCTGTACGCATCCTCGTAGGTTGAGATCTTTGATGAAGGGACCTGCCGCGATGATGATCCTGGCGAGTGACTCGGCAGGAATTTCGCGATAGAATTCTGAGGCATCAAGAGATGTCCACAGTTGACCATCAAAGCAGGTCTTGTAAAAGGCCTTGGAGACTCGAGATGCCTGAACAAGCTCCTTAGGCTGAAAGAAAGAGAAGATGTGAATCTGAAGTTCATTGGGCATCTTTTCCCAGAAGCGGAACGGAGGCTTCTGGATAGGCTTTACACCGGGGCGGACTCGAAACCGAACATCCTGCTTGGACCGAAACTCGGATGGAAGAGGAGCAGTTATGGGTGTAGTAATTGGCGTGACATTTTCGATTCTGCGAATAGCCAATTCGCTTCCAGGAGTTTCAAATGGGAACTCTCCTGAAGATTGAGGACTTGAACCTGATGTGCTGGGCAGACCAAGAGGTGAAGGCTGTGGGGTTGATGAGCGAGCACTGTAGGGAGCCTGGGGCTGGGGTGGTCCAGTGGCCGCAAGACTGACACACGAGAGAGTGCTTCTCGTGCCATAAGGGCTTCCGCGACTGCCTACAGATTTGGAGCGGCGTAAACCACTCAACGAGGGTGTTGACGATATACGCTGAATTCTTTGAATAAGACGGTGTCGGTTCTTGCCCTTGACTGGCATATCCGGTGCTGGCGGAGTGGATACGCCCTCTGGGGCCGGGCTCGGAGCGCCGGAAGACGAGATCTCGTAGACATTCATGGTAATAAATTCGAAATAGATTGGAGAGTTTTTGAGTATTGTTATCGTCCAAGAGCTAGATGTAGAATCTTGCAGCTGTAATAGTATTCAGACGAACAAGACAAGACTCCCCGATAAGAATTGTACTGTACTCGTCGGTCGGTCGATGGTGGAGTGTTTCGTAGGTTCCTCGGTGGTCGCTAACAGAGCGGCAGGGGATAAATGCAGGGTCCTGGCCTCAATTCATAGCTAGCGAAGGATGGGAGTCGATGCGCATAGGTATTGAGATCGAACAGATAGGGAAAAGGGAATCAAGACAATGCAAAAGCGGACAGAGGAAAGGAAACAAAGATAAAAAAGAAACCTCGTCCAAAAAATGTCGCTTAGGGAGAACCGAAGAAAAAAAGGTCCAATGTTAAGGTTGCCCACTCGTTTTTTTGGAGGGAAACCGAGGAGATCAGCAGACGATGGGGACGACTCGGCGAGGGTGGTGGGGGTGGTCAGCGGGGCCGTTTCGTCGTACAGTAGGTACCGTACAGTATCTAACTCATGTAGTAACTAGGTACGGTATCTAATCGAAGAGGGAAGTGTTCTAATGGTGCAGTATCGAATTTTTAGTTATCGTTGGAGAAGAGGGCACATGTCCATGGAGAAGTGAACATGACCTTGGATGATCACCAGAGAAGAGTAGAAGAGAGAACAAGAAAAGAAAGAATAGACCAGAACAGAGGAGAGTCACAAAGTATGAGGGGAAAAGTATGAGGCTTTTTGTTTGTTCAAAACTCACTCTAGAACACAATCCATCAGTCCAATAGTAACAACTCAAGACTGTCTAGATCCCTCAGAGTTTCGAGTATGTACCTCACGGTTGAGAGCCTAGAAGGACCCTTGTGTATGTGGTTCCCGACTTCTGGGCCTGGGGGTTATCACTAGTCCCCCACTATTTTTTTCTTATCGTGTGGGTTACGGAGGGGGATCGGCCTTACGCGGCTGTTTTTGGCGGCCCGGATGGCGAATCGTTTGTATCTGCACGATAGCTCGTCTTGTAGCGCTTCGGCGAACCCTGGCTGGAATGAGACTTTGAACTGCATCGCGGGATACACGAGGCGAGAAGGAGACTCATCCAAGTGGACAAGCCTAGCTCAGCTCAGCCCGGAGTCTGAGTCCCAAGAATCCAACGGGACGGTGACCCGGAAGCCAATCAGTGGCACAGCTTCGCCCAGATGTTCCCCGTCTGCCTCCGACTTTCTCTCTCTCTTAATGTCAGCTTCTAGACCTTTGCTTTTTTGTCTTTCCTATCCGGCCTTTCTTCAGGGGCTGTTTAAAGGGTCCCTTTGGTGTGCAGCTCTCCCCCACCCATTCATGCATCTTACCCGAGCCATCCCAAACCCGGGGAGGAGGTCCATGTCAGTTTCTCGTGTCCGCGTGGCACTACTTTTTATCTCTCACATTTATGCTGTTTGACCAACTATGGATAGAATGAAAGACCCTTTGACTATTTCTGACAAGAGATTGAATTGTTATTTGACTGCCAACAGAAGTTGGGCTCGCTAAACCTGATCAACTGAGGCATGCAACGACCATCATTACTGTAAATGGTTACTAGCCGTTGCTTCAGCCAGATGGCACCACAGACTCAGGGACCTTGCCTCTGACTACTGCACGCCGACCTGTATTAAAGCACGATAGAGAATCCGTCCCTGACTCAAGGTTCCATGGCTCGAGGCTGGGCCAACCATGGGAAGACAGCTTTCTCCGCATCCATGTTATGTACAGTACATACATGTCTACTGTGCTGCAAGCCGACTTATTAACCAAGTTCTGGAAGGCGGTCAGAATGCCTTCTGGCCTCTGAGGGGAATACCTAGTCGTGGGACTCAACAAATCAAAAGCACCACTTAATAGTACATACCTAAATCAGCCTACTTTTTCTACCACTTTTTACTTGGAGAATTACTCGTTTATGTTGGCTCAACGCCTCTCGTCTTGGTTCCTTCCTCATTCAGTCTCGACTGAATTTAAGCCTGGGGAAGACCCCACTAGAATGGAAGAATGGAAGGATGCCCCTCATCCTTCCAAGACTTCAGAGCATTTGACCCCGCGTTCTATGTGACCCGGGCGATAACAACCCGATTCCTTATCGTAGGTTTTGGTTTGGAGGCTCCATGGTGAGGCATCTTTCATCCTTTAATACAAGACATTTCTGTAGAGACCATTCCGGAAAGATGTATGGTAGGAAGGTAATTTGGATTGCTCATGCGCATCATGGTAGGACTGGCAACGCGCTATTAAGATCACCAGGCGTCATTCCATAGGTTGACATTTATCTTGAACAGCCTGTGGACACCCTTTTGATCATCTGCCGTCTGATAGATTAAGTGCAGATTAAGTACGAGGGCGATCATCACATTGTTACTTGCTGTCTTTTAGAAATTGTGCATCCAGTAGAAAGTTAAAGCCTCATTCGACCACACTCGAGTCGCGTGGTCACTTATTCCATTGGAACATGTTTCGTTGAGACATGACAGGAGGTCTGACCTATTGGGATAGTCGTCTGACTCGGTCACGTTTGGGTTTGTAGATATGGATAATGGTCAGGCTTATACCAGCGGTCAATACTCAAGAAAAGGACTGCCCATTAATCCAAGTTCGATTTCTAGAATTGCCTCATCCCGGCCCGTCCACACTGCTCATTTATGTTATCAGTGACTTAATGAGCTTATGACCACCATATATGTTTCTACATTCTCGTGAACGAAGACAACCCGGAAATCCGGACAGAAAGTTTGAAATCGTACCAAACATTTTGCTGTCGCTTTCTCCCTTATCTAATCACCTTTCCCAATCGTAAAAACCTTGAGGCTCCTTGGCAATCTAGGTTAGTTTGTATGTATACATATTCTGTATCCAACGACACAGTTATTGGTAGGAAATATCCACATATTATTGAGCCGTTTCCTCCAAGAATTACTGCACGTGGGCGGAAAGATATAGAAGCATTTTCTTCTTCATGACAATGATTTCTCCACCAACAATCGAATTGTGGATTTCCCAGGTTTTGAGGTATAACGCTTGTTATATACCAAGACCTGCGTCAGATATGCTATACACATGAGATTTTAAGTTTTTGATTACATGGAATCTAAGTTTTGAGTTACCACGGGCAACAAGGGGCAAAGGTCTTGATTCTAAGGAACGGGCAGCTTCTTTGATTCACATGCTTCATGTTTGGTTGGGCTAGGGCTATTCTTAGGGATTGTTATGCATGTGTTTGGTTTTCACGGTGAACTCTTTTCTCCTTGGGCTTTTCGCTAATCTTGAATTGTCTATAACGGCTCTCTATGATTTGGAAAGGAACATTGAGTTATATGCAGTGTTCAGTTCGGTCTGTTTCCAGGAAATTAATTGTCGCAAGTAAGAGTAGTAATCACCTTTGAAAGACAAGACTTTATTGATATTACGGGTCACACTTGACTTGTCTGGATACCTTTCAACTGCAACACAAAAAAAAAACACAATCTGGAGCTGAGTTAACAAGATCTCACTTGACATCGGGTTGTGCGGAAGCAGAAAAACCACTGCGTCATTTGCCTTGCTAGACCAGGTTCAATTTCAATGATGGGTGCAAACTGGCTTACAACGGTTCCATGGGCTTAACGTGTTACCGAAACCCCATAGGTGCGATTGGTCTTGTAACCCTCCTGCATTTGGGGGCCGTCCAGGGCTGGGAAAGCACTATAGCTAGTGGCTACGATTCAAATTGAACCAATCAGGTTATCTAATAAGTTCACAAGTCTTGAGAGCAGCCTATGATAACGACCCAAATCCCCATCCATCATTTGGGCGCGTTCAACATTCGCTCATACTCGATGAACCTTGACAATCCAAGTTCACGAATTAATGTTTGTCTCTCTTATCAAGGTTGCAAATATATCAAACATTTTGTTTTTTGTTTTTTTTTGTATATTATATAAAACCTCCGCTTTAAGAAGCTTAAATCTTCCTCTCACATCCACTTCCCTTGATATCTCTCCTCCCACACGACTCATAGCGACTGTTTCCTTTGTCAGGTCACAAGCCAAGACACAGCCCTGCAAATACGCCCCCATCCTTGACAATCTCAACCGTCACCCTTCGACTCTCAACCCTCGAATATCGATAACACGACGTTTCTGCATCCACAACTTGGCTAAAAACCTACTCTTTTTTGGATAAGCATACGATACACGACTTCCTTTCGCGGCGACGGCTGGTCTCAATTTTAATCGAACTCTGGGCAATCGAGCCAACCGAGATTTCCTGCTCGACCCCGCCATCCTCAGAGCAGGCCTCGCCCTTACGACATAACCCGTGGTTTCGGCCTTCCCTTGGCCGACTCCAACTATGATACAGATGCATGGTGGAAACAATGATCATGGTATTACTTCCTTGCGTCCTGGCACTTCTCTCGGCTTCTCTTTGTCGTTAGCTAACCACAATGTTCAATGACAGGAGCCGAAAACCACACGGGAGAAGATCAACGCGGACGCGAGAAGTTTCCAATGGCGCTTTCTCTGCCAAAGAATCGTAGCACGGGGAATTTGGCAGCCGCTCGAAACTCATCGACCCAGGATAGAAGCAGAGCACGAATGTCTCTGGATGCATCCGCAGCAGCGGCAGCAGCCGCTGACCTTGAAGCTATCGCCAGGTATGTCGAGTGGGATCATGCGTCACTCAACGCCGAAGTGGCGCCCAACCTCTGTTGGCAAATGCTGACCAACATATCATTTATAGGTCTCCCATCTTGACCGATCACGAGCATGGCCTAGGCCTCTCTGGGCTTCGACGAATTAGACAACAACGCCCGCCATCGAGAAACCCAACACTACCAGGATCTCGAGCGTCTTCACGAAGCCCATCTGTTGCCGCACTTACTCGGTCCACCTCAATGAGTGCCATGGCCGCCAGCGTAGGCAGCTTATCACTTACAGGCGGCCCTGCAACTCCAAGTTTCGCTGACGACCTCTCCCGCTTTCCGTCCGAATCTCTTCATTCTTTCTCATTCGCCAATCAGTCAGAAGATTTCCTACACAACAGACAAAATGTTCTCAAGCGATCTATCGAGTTCATGAAAGACCACATGGGACTTCCCATGAGCTCCTCGCAGGCTGCTCTTGCAAGTGCTCAGGCAAGGGTAAGCGGTGATGTAGAGACTCAGAATATGCTTGACCTGCTAGCCCAGGCACAACTCATCAGGGCTGGAAACTTGCCAAACCCCGACGAGTCTTATACACCAGCACCTTTGACCGGCCCTGCCGAGGTTTCCCAGGAAAACGTCTTTGACAAAAACTTTAATCCCCGAACATCGAGTACAGATTTAACAAGCCCTCACCAGACGTCGCCACCTCCTCGGAGGTCGAGGGTTGAAACGACAAGAAGATCTAACAATCTTGAACCGGTAGCCCATGAAACTGGTCGGGAATCGGATCAACCACCGACATCAACAAATGAGAGCGAAAGTGCGAGCCGCAAGTCGGTGCCCGCCCGACCGAAGCTGACCTTGAAACGAACCATGACGGATATCACAGCGGTTTCAGCTCAAGACAAGTTGATAGACACAGTCTCCCAGCCATTCTTGACAGGTCAGACCATCTATCAAGAACCGCTGAGCGCTGCGTCTTTGACGCAACTTCCCAGTGCCACGACAGCCAATTTCCCCACTCAGTTAGGCCCTTCTGTGCATGGTCACACGAATCGCTGGGTACCCGCTGCGCAGGCAATTTTTACAACAGAAGTTAAACCTCCATGGACCATCATCGCAGCCAACGATCTCGCCTGCTTAGTGTTTGGTGTGACCAAGGCAGAGGTACGCAAGATGGGCATCTTGGAGGTCGTCCAGGAGGAGAGAAGATCATGGTTGGAGCGAAAGCTTTTGAACCAGCCGGATGAGTACAGCGAGGGCCAGGCACCTTCTGGCCAAGTTACGCCTGCCGCTTCAGCAGCTTCGGCATTGCTTAATGGTAGATCTGGGATAACAGCCCAGCTCCTAAGTAAGCCCAACTCAAGAACCCAGCCACGCAGTTACACGCAAAGACGTGCACAAACGGTTCACAGTGGCGACCCCAACCCCCCAAAAGTCGGAGGTGGCGGCCACGGCCATAACCAAACTAATTCATCCAGAGGAGTATTGCTGTGCGGTGACGTTGTTCCAATTCAAAAGCGCAACGGTGCAACTGGCTCTGCGAGTCTCTGGGTGAAGGAAAAAAAGGTCGGCCTGATCTGGGTCCTGGAAGAAATTCACGAAGATGTTGCTTATATCACATTGGATGAAGAGGGAATTGTCCAAAAAGTATCGGGATCCACTGCTCCTATTTGGGGATTCGAGTCCATTTCCTCTGGCTTTGACATAGCGAGACTGATTCCACGGATACCTCGGCAAGGTATAGACCCTAACACTGGGGAGATTGATTTTGCTCAAGCCACGAGGCGAAGATATTTTACATGTCCTCACTCGCCTCACGTCAACATTCCCTGTACTATCGAGCAAACCCGAGGCAAGCTCGAGCTTCGAGTGTCGACGTTTCCTCATATGGCTGGAATCATTGTGGTGGAGCCCGAATCTCTCAAAGTTCGAAGCTCGAACTCTGCCTTTTGCGGTGCACTTTTCGGATTCGAAAGGGCGGATGGAATGTCGATCAATGCCCTGATCCCAGAATTCGACAAAATTCTCGAATCGTTGATAGAAGAGGACGGTATCCAGCTCCTCGATGGTATGGTAGTCCCTGAGCACCGTTTCAGAAAGGCATCGGCGTTCCTTGCTCTGAAAGAAAACAGACCTGATGCTGCGTCAGCTTTCCTCCACCCGGCGGGATTAAGCGCGAAGCATCGTGACGGGTCCGATCTGAAGGTTGACGTTCAGATGCGCGTAGTCAAGAGTGAAAAGAAGACCCTTGTGGTGAACGAGACTGTCGCTGAAGGCAGTGACGAAGACAACGCCATTGGGAGTGATGAAGCAACATTCGAAGTGACCCATTCAGAAATAGTGTATGCTTTGTGGGTTACATACTCACGCCATCTTCATGGCACCCAGCCTCATCTTGCCATCGAAACTCCTACTCGGTCTGGTGCCCTCACACCCCTCCACCAACCATCGCCAGGCCAGACTCCGGCCCATACGCCTTTGGAGATTCCCTCAGATGATGAGACGCCCCGAAAGAATGTGTTGAATGCTGCGAGCTCGCTCTCTAAGCATCTGAAAGATGCTGCCATTCATGCCGCTGCTAAGATCACAGGACAACAAGCAAAGCCCAAGCCTGAAGAGGCACCACCAGTTCCAAAGGTTGTTGAGCCCCCACATAAGAAAACCATCAACGACTACACGATACTTGAAGAAATGGGCCAAGGTGCGTATGGCCAAGTGAAACTGGCTCGGCATAAGGAGTCGAACAAGAAGATCGTGCTCAAGTACGTCACCAAGCGCCGTATTCTCGTGGACACTTGGACCAGGGACAGAAAGTTGGGTACTGTGCCTCTGGAAGTTCATGTTCTTGAGTATCTTCGCAGGCCCGAGTTACGGCACCCCAACATCGTTGAAATGCAGGGTTTCTTTGAAGATGACGTGAACTACTACATCGAGATGGTTCCCCACGGACTGCCTGGCATGGATCTGTTCGATTACATCGAACTCAGAACAAATATGGATGAGGCCGAGTGTCGCAGCATCTTCGTCCAAGTCGCAAATGCTATCCATCACCTACACACTAAAGCAAAGGTGGTGCATCGCGATATCAAGGACGAGAACGTGATTCTCGATGGAGAGGGTAACATCAAGCTTATTGATTTCGGAAGTGCGGCATATATCAAGAGCGGTCCTTTTGATGTTTTCGTTGGGACAATCGGTATGGTTGTGATGCTCGATTGGGATGCTGAACAATATGCTAACTTTCAAATAGATTATGCCGCCCCTGAAGTTCTCGCTGGCAAGCCTTATCGGGGCATGGAGCAAGATGTCTGGGCTTTGGGTATCCTCCTCTACACTATCATCTACAAGGAGAACCCTTTCTACAGCATCGACGAAATCATGGATCGTGACCTGCGAATACCCTATGTCCTTAGCGAAGAGAGCATCGACCTCATCCGCTGCATGCTAGATCGAGATGTTGCCAAACGCTACGATATTAACCAGGTGCTAGAGCACCCTTGGTGTCAGGCTACGGATGACGAATGAGTTCGCAACTTGACACGTTTTCAAACATAATAAGCATGAAGAGGTGTCGATGAGCAAGACACTCTGACATGCTATCTGAAGATTCACTTCGTGATCACAATACCCCCTTTTGGACTCACGAGACCTCATTACTTTTTTCTTTTGTGTCTTATATGCGTTAGATATGATTGGCGTGGAGCAACCACAATGGAGATAGAGGAGAACGCACGATACCTGCTCGAAACACGATGTGCAAAGCCGGAAAGGCTAGGATGAACACCATTTTACGAATTACTCTGGAACGAAGGATACAAAGACCGTATTCTCAAAGAGCGTGAAGGATATGGATGGATTAGGCGCATTGGCGGGAGTTGATTTGGGTTGTTGATTTTGGCGAGATTGCGATAGAGCGAAGAATGCAGGTTATAAAGCATCCTCATATCCAGAAGCAATTGAAGATAGACGTGATTATCAATATTCAAAATGTATATATATGTGCCTTCTCGAGTGTCTCAAAACAAAACGCCAGGCGAATCTTCACACTGGGAGTAGATCCTAGCAGTGCCCAATCATTATGTTCCTGCTCACATCCTCAACGGTAACTTAGCTCAGGATTTGCTCTGAAATTGCAACGGCATCGGCACTCTGGAACCGGACACTCAACGTGTCTGGCAAACCACTGCCGAGCATGATCAAGATGTAAAACATGTTCACAGCGGAGGCAGAATGTTGGGAACTGACCGGCCATTTTGGCTTCACTCTTCTCCTCCGGCTTGTCAGAGCGTGGCACACCGACAATCTCAAGGCAGACTACACATCGTGGTAGGTGTCGACCACAATTTGGGCAACTCACACCTGCGTTGATGCTCGTCGCGAGAAGCGGGTTACGAGACTCGAGAGCTGATGATGCTTGTGCAGCGGAACCACCCCCAAGATGTGGTGGATGGCTGGCGCTATTTGCTAGTGACGTCTCAGCGTCACAGAAGACGCAGCGGAGGGCTATCTGGCGCGAAGGCGGTTTGAGTTTGGGGATTCCGTCGCGCTTGGAGCGTTTAGTAGACTCTACGTCAAACTTCGTACGTTGGAAGAAGAGTTTATGACGCTGTAGATGGGAACGGTATGCATTGCGCCAGGCTCGGCAGCGAATGTCATCGATGTATCGAGGCGCGCAGATCGAAAGGACCAGTGTTGCTGTTTGAACATCGTGGAACTTTTGGATGTAACGAGCAAATATGTCAACCATGGGCTCTGTGATACCCGTGAGGACAACGCCCTCTATGTCACCGTCTGCTATTGCCAGATCAACTTGCTCGTTGAGCCACTGAGTAAGATGATCATCATCAAAGTTGCGTATCGCGATACACACCCTATCCAACAAGGGGAGAGAAAGCTGGCTGGCTACCGCCGTCCAATCACCCGTAGCAATGAGTGATGAGATGGCTCGCAAATAGGGATCAGTCTTTGAGGCGACCGCTTCATCAAAGTCAAGCTTTTCCTTTGCAGGCGTGTTGTTATCATCGCCCATGAGCTGCAGTGCTAAGGATACGAAGAGTAGTTCTGGATGCGCAGTGCTAGCTTTTTTGAGGATCTGAATCGCTTCCTTGCGATCACCCGCGAATAACGCTCGAGCAGCAGCCATAGTGTGGATGGTGGTCGGATACTCGGGATCTGCATTGCGGTTACGGCCCTTGGGATCATGTTTTTCTGAATCGCCCCAACCGCATACATCGAGACAGAGTTGGCGATGGGCAGGCCACTTGGTCACTAATGCATCAAATTTAGGAAGATGCTTCTTCTTGCAGAAATTCGCAATGCTGCGCTCCCACGTTGAACGATCAGGAGGTGCTGTGCCAGGGGGTAGACGAGTGGAAGGGTCACGGCCTATCGTGGTGTCAACTGTTGCTCTTGAAACGAAAAAGAACAGCACTTACCAAGGTTGTTAGTCCATATTGAATGAACTCCTAGGTAGCTCATATCAATATTTGAGAGTACCATTCCTCCATCATCGGCAAAGTCTTCAGCACCTGAAGATGTGTAAGCATATTGCGAGGGCAGTGTCGTTCCGAGCTACTGATTGTACTTACTTGCAACCCAATCCCAGATGTATTTAACCCAAGGGTCATCTGCCACAATATCTCTATTTGCTACCGCGTCAAAGAGATATTTCTCTTTGGCACGTAACAGCATTGCGTGGTCAAGCACACTCTGTGCTTCTCTTGGCAAACCTTCCGCCTCAGCGAGCGAAGCCAATAAGGCATCGTGCATTTCTCTACATGAGCCCAAACTGTCTGAAGCCAGAGACAGTTCGCTCGTCTCGCTTTGCACGATCTTTGTGTCACCGGCACGTGGCTTGATTCCCTTGGGCGCCTGAAACTCGTCTCTGACAAAGGCACGTAGTGCTCTAATTTTGGGAGCCACGGTAGATGCTTTGTGGAAGGCTTCAGGAAGTGGTCTCGACGTTGCCCCAATGTCTTCTATAACAACCGAAGACATACTATTTGCCTTTAGTGCAGCTCCTGTGTCGGCCCGGATACTAGCTCTATCCGACCCGAAAAAAGGCACATCTGATAGCGCTTCTTCGATTAGTAGTGGACCTAGAATATCCGAGGCCTGTGAAGGCTCGAATTGCATTATACTATGATACGGGTCCCCCTCTGGATATTGTTAGAACTGAAGTTTGTGGAAAGCCGGTTTAATTTACCTTCAAGTCCACGGTGTGGCGATTTCCATGGCACAAGCTTGTAGACATGGTCCGAGGTCTGTGATGGCTGTTCCAGAATCTCAAAGTTCCCGTTGGCCCGCAAGACAAGTAATCGGGGACGTAGTACCGGGGAGCTCAATGTCACCCAGTCAAAGGCAACAATACGGTCATTCTTTCTCGACGTTTCAACATATGAGACGTCCATCTCGTATGACTTTTGAACTTGGAGAAGTTCTGGGTTGCTGGAACCGGCAGACGGGACTTCTTTATTGGTGTTCAAAACCTTGAGTTGACCAGTACGGGATAGCACAGCAAGTAATCCGCGGTGATCACGGCAGTAGCGAAGAGAGCGGACAAGAGAATACTTTCCTTCTGCCAAGAAAGGGTCAGAATCGGTCTCTATCACTTGATCAAGACGCAATGCCCCACCCCACGGAAGCTCGTCTTCTTCGATGGCTTGCATGTATGTGGGAGATGCCACGGGCCGTGATGTAGCCCGCCTATCCCATATCATTACACCAGGATGGTCAAGGGCAGATGAAGCAAAGTAGTTTTGATCGGCGTAGTCGATTGTGAGGTTGTTGTTACATTTAGTCTGGAAAGTCACAATGCTTCCAGGATCTAGCCAGAAATATCGGGTCAGTTTGAACAGAATCACCGTTTCATTCCTAGGGCTTACCGCGAAGATCGTGTATCCGGAGGCCTTGTGCCTTGATGCCGACAACAAGAGTTTGAGGGCTGTCCTCGAAGAATTTGATACTCGACACAGAGACGCTAGGTTCTAGACGGGTCTTCGGGTCTGCAATATTGCTTGCGTCTGAAGGGAATCCTTTCGTGTTTTTGTCTATTGAAGACAGTCGACTAACATCCCAGATGTGCAGACATTGGTCCATTCGGACTCTATCAAGACCGACAGCCAGTAGTCCTGTAGTGTTAAAGGCGACAGCTTGGCAGGTTCGGGACATCTTGAGGCCCAGCTCAACGTACGCATTAGAACCATCGTCAATCTTGAGCAAGTTCACAATGCCACTTCCAGTTCCAACAGCGAGAAGGCCAGGATTCGTTGGTGACCAGTCGTAAGTTGTGAGAGGAGGGAAATCATCATGTCGAGAGAGTTTTTGGTAATCGAAGCGGCCTGTTCTTGCGTGGCCAGTTGGCTCGTAGACTTGGACTACACGATGCTGAAGGTTGATATGAATGAAGTTGTCATAAGAAGGGTTGGATGACCACTTGACGAGTCCCGGCTCAGGGCGATCCATGGCGCCACAGGGTTAGCTCAAGGACGCGCAGTTAATGCAAGAAACTGTAAATAGTATCCAACTCTTCAATTATAGAACAGTATAAGCTCTCCTGGATAAACAAACATTTGATGCGATTCAAGCTCTGGCATGGGCGGAGAGTTGAGACAAGAGCTATTAAATCAGCATAGTTCTGTGACTTGATTTTGAAATAGCTTAACAGCGGGTGACAGTCAATAGATATATGCCAGCTTTATTTAGAACAGATTACTGTGATCTGGTGTTATGGATAATAAAAGAAAAGGGCCGTTGGATTGTAAAGTAAAGTAAATATTGTTTGGTATTGGATGGCAGGTGTTAAACTTAGATGGATCGATCTTCCAGGAACAGACCCAGACCTCCTTCCCCACACAAGATATTTGAAGCTAGTCCTAACCTGTATGTACATGATAAGATAAGGTACCGTTACCTGTATCGAAGCCCTTGCCAGTAAAAAAAAAGTTGACCATTTTCTAAGTCGTCTCGTAGATACATTCAGCCTTTTTTCCCTTAACTACGCTTTCTTTTCTCCTTCGTTCAGTTGTGCAAACATCACTCCACCACAAAATCAATACAGATATCTGATTGCTTTGTCATGGCACAAAAGAGAGAGCATTCCGAGGTTGGCTCGCCAGAACCTCGTGATTCAGGATCATTCCATGACGCCAAGAAGCGCAAGCAAAGCAAGTCGAAGCATCGACCAAACGAAGGGACTTCAACATGGGCCAAGAAGCGAACGCGCACAATTGAGCGACTCCTCAACCGAAACCAAGAACTACCCGCCAATGTCCGCAACGATCTTGAACGAGAGCTGGGCGCGCTCAAGTCTACGGTCTCAGACAAGAGCTTCCAAAGGCTACGAAGCGCCATGATCTCGAAATACCACATGGTTCGATTTTTTGGTACGAAATTCTTCAGTTGTGTGTCACAAGCGAACAAGAAGACTAACTGCGTAAATAGAGCGAAAGAAGGCATCGAGATTAGCAAAGCAGTTGCGCAAAAAGATTGATGAGACCGAATCGACAGAAACAGACGAGCTTGAAGGATTGAAGCGTGATTTGCATGTTGCCGAAGTGGACGAGGCATACACTCAGCACTTTCCTCACGCCGAACCCTACATCAGCCTCTACACCAGTGCCAAATCGGAGAAAGAGGAGGAGGGTAAAGACGACGACAAGCTTGACTACGCACCTCTCAAGCACAGAGGTCTGTTGCATACAGAGAGGCCGCCGATGTGGTCGGAAATTGAGCAAGCAATGAAAGGTGGCCCTCACGCGCTACGAACCATTAGAGAAAGGCGGCCCGAAGTTTCAGAAGGAAGCCAACCAAAACACAGCCAGAACAAGTCCAAGGCGGCAACAGGCAATGACAAGGCCATGTCTGCTCCTAAGGCGCAGCCCAAGCCCGAAACCAAGCCCACGTCCTACACCAAGGGCAAACCAGGGGCTGCTCCCAAGAACCGCAGAGAGCGTCGGCTTGCAGAGCGTCAAGGCGCCCAGCCTGTTGTCAAGAACGACGATGACGATAGTGATGATGGCGGTTTCTTTGAAGAGGATTAATTACTTCTGGGGTACAGGAGGCAGAAAGGGAAGCCGAGCCGATTGCAGGGGGCATGGAAGGAGTTTTTACATATTGCATTCACAGTTGTTGATAGATACCCTGTGAGACCGGTGAGTCGACCATATGTTGCGCCTGTCTATAACCAACACATATAGCGTTGTCACGTTCTCAGCCTGGTTTCGTACCGTCACTCCTAAGCCTGATCATGTGAGATATCCAAACTATCTATAGCATTTTTTATTATGGACAGATTTTAGATGTCTCAAGTCTTCATCGGTTACAGTAGCTTTTGGGCAGATAATTCATATAGAGATAGCTATAAAGCATCAATAGAGTCGTAAGAGATTGCGATGCCCATGTGCTACTCTCTTTGTGCCTGTCAATCGGCCTAGCTCCACCAACGCTGGCCATTAAATGCAGACCCCTCACAGCCACCATCACAGCCAACTTATCAAGCTGCAATACACTTGTAGCCCTTTTAATTGATAGCATTGTTCTTTTTTCTCTATAAATAGGAAACATTGACCAAGGCCGGCCAGTTCAACTTGCTCCTCGAGTGGAGCCTGCCTGGTTGGTTGCCTTATTATCGAATTGTTGTAATTCGCCGTTGCGATTACTTACCTCAAAGAGATTCTCTGTCAATAGCTATATCCGCGTGAGGCCTCGACTGTGATTCATGATACGCAGCTATAAATTGCACACAGGGATCACAACTTCACTTCCCATTTTTCATCCGTTCAATCGGGGCCGCCTTTTCTCCTCTTCATTCAGCCTTTTTCGTTTTATTCCGCGTTATCTACTTTCATCTACAACACTGAGACAACTCCGCTTCCTGAATCTTACACACGAAACCATGGCAAACACTGCGCAAGGGATCCCTTGGGATCAACTTATCGAGTTTGCTAAAAACAAAAAGGCGGAGGAGAAGAGCACCGGTAAACCTGCTCAGCTTAGCAAGCAGCAGCTAGCCGCAGTCTCGATGCTTGTCGACTTTGTCAAGGATATTGAAGTCAACGATACCTACGTGGGCAAGCTCTACGGTAAATATTCCTAAACATGTTTGAGATACCAATCAACTGACTGTTGTTCCCACAGAACACTGCCAGAGAAACAAGATCGAAAGTCCTCAATTCACTACAGAAACCTTCAACCAGTGTATCTCAGGCACAAATATCCCACGATCTCGCGTCCTCTGCACTCTACCGTCCAAAGGCCAGCAGTTCCCCCAAGAAGGCTATGGTTACAGCGCTGGAGAAGCTATTCCAACGTTCGGAAAGGCGCAGAAGGCCAAGAATTTTGCCGCCATGCAAGCCCTGAACTGGCTCCAAGGCCATGGACCATCATCACCCCGTGGCGAAAAACGACCAGCTTCAGTTACAAACGAATTTCCTGTGCATACCAAGATCAAGGCCGAGGAGGACAATAACTCCGAAGGTGGTGCGCTCACGGCCGATTCTTCACAGTCGAGTGCAAAGGGTGTCCCGCCACCAGGCCAGCCTGCTGGAGCCCAAGGATCTACTATGCGTGAACAGGTTACTAAACTTGGTGAGGAGATGGACTTTGGCAGCCCAGAGTATCTCATCCAGCGAGCCGAAGAGGGAGACGACATTTGGAATGGGCGCCCTATTTTCAAGAATGATGGCAAAATTCCACCTGAAATGGGCGTGGTGACTGGAATCGCGGGTCGCCAGCAAACGGAAGAGATGGTTGTGAAGAGGACTCTCGAGTGGCTGCAGAATGAGAAGCGCATCAGGTATAAGCTGTTCCTGAAGATCATTGGTTCCGGTTCAAAATGAGCTTTCTTTCTTTCTTTCTTTCTTTCTTTCTTTCTTTCTTTCTTTCTTTCTTTCTTTCTTTCTTTCTTTCTTTCTTTCTTGTTTCTGTTGCCGTTTCCTCGCACCTGGTTAGGGCATACATAGGATGCATTATGATCGGGAGTCTGGAGGAATGGGTACGACTAGAGGGTTCTCAGGGGCAGTCTTTCGTACCAAGATAGTCTTGACAATTCCATGCTGTTTTACATTGCAACTTGCAGCCTTGCTATTCACAGTCTTGCTCTAAGAATCGCTTCATTTACCTCCCCTTCCTCCTCGCTTGCCGAAGGGAGGACTTATCTTTATGCCACTAGGCAGATCAGACACCCACTGCCCATCCTGCCAAAGCACACCAACATCAATATTGCGTCCTGTAACCAACTTGAAGTACTTGGTGCTCAGGATGCCCGTCTCATCACCCTCGGTCAACAAGACCCCGTTATCACTCAACCACCACTGGATGCCATCCTTCAAACTCTCTTCCATGTCAATCTCGATGATCAACTCGGCATCCCTGCGCATACCGCTCACGATGCCTTCCTCGGGTGTACCTGCTGAGCAATGCACGTGGTTGCGGTTCATGGGCTTCAGACCACCCGTTTCCACGATGGCTGACCAGAAGTAGAAAAACGATCCGTGAAGAACACGGTTAGGCACGTTGCCAGCCTCGACAGTGATGGGTGTAAGAAGATTGGCTGACTCAAGCTTGATTGAATGGCCCTGGTTGGCACGGATCAGGTAGTCGACTGGAGAAGTGGACTTTGTGTCCAAGGATGGGTTTGTAGCTGGGTTTGGCTTTAAAGTGAAGCGCTGCTTGCCATCTGTAGAGACTGCCGTTTGAATGTCATCAAGTGTGACCTTGAGAGATCGCAATGGGTTCCATGCAAGCTAGACGAACAGGTCAGCGTAAATCCCATGTCCGTAAAAGAACGATGCAGCTCTCTCGAACACCCTTTTCAGGAACCGTTCACTTACCACAGCATCTAGGCGCGCAAAACCCTCGTCGTCGAGTTGAATCCCAGCGTTAGCCGCTTGGTGTCTCAAGAGCCTGGACAAGGCCTTTGACACCTGCACCTCTCGACCCTGACCACCGCCCCCTCCGCCTTTTCCGCGTCCCTTGCCGCCTCTTGGCTTTGAATGTTTGTCTTGCACCTTGTCCTCCACATCAAGAAGCGCATCTTCTCTTGCTGCATCATCAGCCATTGTGTTGTGTATGCGTCGTGCAAAACCCTTGTGATGAAATGGTTGAGATGTGGGCGAACTAGCTTTGGTAGCGACAGCCGATGCTCTGTATGCTGCAAATATAAAATGACGGAATGGGGATTTCAACTTTGATGCAAAGATGAAGGATCTCAATCTGGCCATCACTCAGGTTAACTAGGAATTCTTGCGAGAGCCTGCCAGTGGGGCCCAACTTAGAGGTAACTGACAACCTGCCTATTATTCGGCCTGACTCAGCCTCTCTTTCTTTAAGATTCACAACCCCCTCTCTCGCCGAACAGTCATAGTGATATTATACAAACCAAAACGAGGATGAAAAACATACATCCAAAGGGGAGTTACTTGTATATATCGCAGATTTTTAAACAATAGTCTTCAACATTGGTCATATCACATCCAACAATCCCAAGATAGCGCACACAGAAATGCAAATATGCAACATAGTTAACCATCAAAAATCGTTATAAAACGACCGGGTCAACTTGTACATTAAACTAACTCAGTATCCATATGCTTATCCTAATGCCTTTGCTTTCCCTTAAAGCCCGCCTACTGCCATAAGGCTATGCAGCATAGGCTCTCGCTTCCCGCGTTGCCAGCCACTCCTCGTACGCCATTTTCAAAAACAAAAACATAATCCTCCAAACACCATGATACTGCATACCGCACAACGTGTTCGTCAAGAGACGGAATATGTACATCGAGCGAGAAGGATGATTGAGGTCATCGCTACTGACGCTCTCGGGTCGTCAAGCCGGGTCAAGTGCGAAACAAAGGGGAAGTAAAATAATGAAGTGATTCCCGTCCGAACAAAAATAGGACAATAATGACGGCCTGCGCTCGAAACATAAATATGTGGTTGTACAGTCGTGAATCAATGAAATAATTTTATAACCATCACCTGTAGCTGCCCGCAGCTGTAGAAGGATTGCCTGACGCAATACTCTCCCGGTTAGGTCTTCTAATCATGCTGCCAGTTCTGTTGACCATGGTCGTCTGCCCTAGAGACGTGTAACGTTGTGCACGCTCTTCGGCAAACCTATCGGCCGCGGTTGTACCTTGGTCTTGTTGCGTAGACCTCTCCATATATCTCCGTGGAGGGGTTGCTGTGTTGACGGAAGGTGTTGCCAGGCGGGAGGTCCCGATAGTCGAGGAAACGTACCGCCGTCGTGGGATGGCTGATGTATTCTCTGCTGGCTGTGGCGTTTGCTCTTGCGGTACAACTCGGATCGTGTTGAGATCAGTACGGATGCGAGAAGGTCCTCGGAATTTTGATTCGTCTTCACTATCTTCACCGACCGTGTTTCTACGGTTACGGACAAACAAAGAGGTTCTTCGGCCTTCATCAGGCTCTTCCGTGCCTGCACGTCTAGTTCTTAGGAGAAGCGATGATGTTCTACCGTCATCCGGCTCTTCGGTGCCAGCTCGACGAGATCTAGAAACCAGAAGAGAAGACCTTCGACTAGATATAGGCTCGATTGGAGTCGACGGTATCGAGGTTGACGCACGAGACGTGGGAAGGGAGCTCCCGTTAAGGATGCTGAGTCTCCTCTCCTCAAACTTGGACATGGTTCTGGGGCTAGTAACACCTTCCTTGGGAACGTTCTTCTCAGGTCTTCCAATGCTCTGTCTGCGTTGAGAGAACCCAGAGAAAGTCTTGTTGACGGTTGGTGTGATTGGCGCTTCGTTCTGGACAGGAGGTGGTACTTCGATTGACTGTCGTGGCATCCGTGTTTGAGTGGCTTCCTCGCCCAACGCGAGACAAAGCTCTGTTAAGCTACGGCATACACTCTCGGCTTTTCGCCTTAATTGGCGATCAGTGACAGTCGCATTCGAGCCAATAGTACTGGCGGAGCTGGAAATTGGCCCGGGCTGACCAGCGGTTCCCATCATAGAAGCCAAAGATACGGCATCGTTGGCAGCAGACTCGAGCGCCTGGTAAATATCGGTATCAAGGAGAACCTTGGACTTAGCAAGGGCGGATTGAAGAATGTTGTGCGACTCTCGATGGTGGTGGGAGGATGTGGTGCTAACAGCATCAGTGGTTTGGCGGTTGCCATTCTCGACTCGTTTGGGAGAGGAGGACATGGTAGTTGCCGTCGTGGTCGCTGTCGGCGGTCGGTCGTCCGATAATCTCGATACTGCGGCGCCAGAAGTCGATGGCAGCTTACCAGTCAGTTCTAGTCGATGTATTCTCGATTTGAGGTCGTCTAGTTCATCCCATACCGTGGAAGGTGCAGTGTTTGACAAAGTAGATTCAGTTCCTTCAGCACCGTTTCCGGTGTCGATATTTGACGGCACCTGAAAATCGAAGGATCGAACCAGCGGGGATGAATTGTATGTCTTGTTGTGGCCATGGTGTATGGATTTGTAGGTAGAACTCCGTCCTTGTCCAGTTGAGTTGTCAGTAATGGAGGATCGGCGGCGGGAGTAATTCGAGTTTTCGGAGCTGGGTTCTTGAAAGACAATCGATCTTGGCGTCACGGGCGAAGGGCGCATAGTTGATGTGGAAGCTCGTGAGCGTCCCAGGTCCTCCCCAGGGTGCGCCGATGCTGCCTTATCTCGTGGTGTTGTGCGGTATGTGGAAGACATGCGAGAAACTTCAGTCGCCCTGTCGTCTTCGTAACCTCTTGAACGTGAGCGCGAGGTTTCTCGTTGATCAGAAAGTCGACGTCGAACTCGAGGAGGTGAATTTGGTGAATGTATAGGGACTACCGAGGATAATGGTCGTCTATGTGTGAATCGGGTTGCGCGGGACTATTCCAGTTAGCGTTACCCTTGAATATAGATGGCGTTTCGGATGTGTTTCCAAAAAAAAAACAGCAAAGGCGCAAATTGAGTTCATGCCGGTCCTCGAAAAGCCTCATGGCGCATATGCAATACAAGGATAATCAAGTAGCACATCGTGAAGTGGAATGAAAGAAGAAAAAAGACTTACTACTACACTTCGGTTATCGTCGGAGGGCTGTTCGTCCGTTTGTCGCTGCGAAGTCTCCTCCCTAGCAATTTTCAGGAAGACGTCGCCAGTATCTTCGTTATCGAAAGCGCCGCGACGGCTTGGGATAGGGGCTGAGCGAAGAGCTTCGTCGTCGCTTCGACCTTCTAGGGCGCGCAAGGTCCGGTCATGGTTGGTATCGTCGTCCTCGTCGCCAGAGTCGTGGAAACGCGGTCTTGAGTTCATATCGAGGGTAACGCTCTTCCGAGAGCCTGAAGATCGGAAAGATCGAATCGGAGGGACACGGACAGCGGTCGAGGGCGATGAATCAGTACTGCTGTTGGTGGAGAGGGGTGGTCGATAAGAGACGGGAGGGCGCTGCGATGCAGACGCTCGTCTCTCATCTGAATTCGTTCTGGACAACGTCTTGGGCAAAATTAATTCGCGTTGGCCAGAAGGCGATTCAATTGGCGAGCTCTCGACTGTGGAGCGGAAAGTGAATTGGCCGTCCTTGGCTGCTTCTATGGCTTCGATGGCTTGGAGGCGCTCCGAGTTTAAGGAAAGCGGCGGGCCAGTGGAAGAGGCACCAGCAGTTGATCTGCGCGATACCAAGGGACGCCGAGTGCGAGTCTTTGACGCTGAGAAAACGTGATGCGGGGAGATCGCGTCAGGTGTATGTGCGTCAGAGAAAGATGCGGGACGCTTAATCCCAGCCGAAAGATGGACCACCGATGACGATGACGATGGCTGAAGCGAAGTTGATCTAGAATGAATTTGCGACGGCAGCGGTGCAGTGGCTTCTTCGGGCGCGTTAGGTTCAGTAGGTTGTGTAGAGGATTTTCTGGAGATCAAAGTGGGCGGCGTTGTGTTTGTGGATGGGTCTGTGGGCGCAGATGTCAATGCAGAGACGGCGTGTTTTTCGTCGCGGTGATGCGTTGTCGGGGGAGAAGTGTCAGAATAGGTCGTCGCTGCGAGTGGTGGTGCTGCTGCTGCTGCTGCTGCTGCTGATACTGGGTCAGGGTTGGACGCTGTGGCTGGCCCACTAACAGCGTCTTTCGGGGAGGTCAGAGAAGGGCCTGGGACTGCTGGTTCCGATGCTACTACGCCGGGGGCCGGTGAGACAGGGTCTGGATTGGGTGAGACAGTGGAATCTTCGATTGACGATTGCAGAGGCAACGCTGCTGATGCACTGTCGGAAGATATCGTGGGGGCTGATGTTGGAATTGTGGTTGGTATCGTCGAAGCCGCGGGTTTGTAGTTGATATAATCAATGTTTGGGGCGTCCTTGTTCTTATTTCCCGAATCGAGATTCTGGTTTTTGTTTCGCTTGTACCGGTTGCTGCTAAATGACAAGGGTTCGCCCTTATTAACTAGGGGCACGCTTCCAAGACTTTTGCTTCGGTCTGAAAAACGGAAAGCAGGCAATTTTGAAGGATTGTGACTCTGCCTGTGCGAATCTGCGTGGGCGATGGCAGTCGTCGAAGATGAGGAAGCATCAGACTGCTGAGTAGTGGAAGTGGTGGTGGTGGTAGTAGTAGCAGCAGCTGAAGGACCCCTGGAAGAGGACGAATCGAGGGCTGGCTGAATCTGATGCTGACTGTCAGGACATGGCTGCTCGGCCACACTGGTGAAACCGCCTTGTACCGTCATGGTCCCAGCTGTGGGAGCATTAGAGCATCCCAGCAAGTGCCTGCAGGTAAATACGACGTCAATAGATTGCGAAGAAAAAGTCTCGCAGGTCGTCGCAGTGGAACTTGGCGTGGAGGAAACCTCCGGGTTGATAACAAGGTGAGGTATTAGCTATTAGCTATTACTGTGGATGCATGCGGTAGTGGCCGTCTCATATAACAATGGATTTAAGACAAGCGAATGAATGCCTTGACTCAAGATGCCTTGATTTATGGTGGTTGGTTGGTTGTTTGAATGTCAAAGCGTCCGCATGCCTCGGAAACGGACGACAAGCAAAGAAAGGCCGTGGAGGATGATGAAGCAGAAAGAGCTTGATCGCAGTTGTTGCAGTTTATTAGGGATGATGCGATATGATGGTGATATAATAAAATGGAGAGAATTGAGAAAGAATGAGTCGTAGAGGAAGAAGGCGAAGTCGGTGAGTGTAAAGTGTGAAGGAGGAGGGGACGGCAATGCCCAACCTACCCAATAACTAAAGAGGATAAAGACGGGAACGAATCCAGACAAAACAAAGCAGAACAAGGCGTCCCAGTAGCGAGCAAGAAGGAGATTGATTGAGAGATATGAGAATAAGGAGAGATGATGAAAGTAAAAAATAATATCAGTCAGATGGAGAAGGACCCCTCAACTTTGAATAACAGTTCGTCGCTAGAAGAGGTACTGTAGGAAGTTACCGAAAAGCGAGAGGAGGAGATGAGGACATCGACAAGGGCTCATACACGAACCGAACGGGTCCCTTTTTTTTCTCCTCTTCTCTCTCTGTCTTTTCTGATCCAACAAATCACCAACAAACTAAACCAGACCAGACCAAAACCAAACAGGGGACCGTCACATCAATAACCTTCAAGGATCGGATGCGACGAGAGTTACGTAGCTGAAAGGAGTCTTGGCTACAGTTGACCATGGTATAGTCGCTACTTATCAATATCCGGCCTCACAAACGGACGGTTACAGTACAGTAGCGAAACTTTGTTTATATGATGAGCAATTAAGACGTTGAAACACCAAAAGCCCTCCCCCCATATACCATCAGTCTTTGCTTCCAAGACGTTTTCCCAACGTTTGCGGACATGCACAACTCATGATACTTCAATGTCTGACCTGCAGAACAAAGCACATTTCTGCAGTTGACTCGGCATGAGGTGGGACTTTCGATCTGCAAACGAATTTCCCCCTGCAGAGAATCAAAGGCTCGGGCTCTGACGCTGTCGTTTATGACACTTCTTGTCGTGTTACAGAATAGACAAACCGTAGGTCTTTGTGTGACTCCAAGTTTGGGGCACAGGACATTCAATAACCAACAGCCCCCTTTTTCGAGCATGAACGATTAATTAATTTTCATCCAGATGATAAATGGTCAAAGCTACGCCAGCGAGAGTACATATGTATCTATGGTTACGGGCCGCATGAGCTCCATTCTCATAGTGGCCTAAGCTTCAACCAGTCTTGGTTAAAGAGCATTCTCTGACCCCATCCCAATCTCAATCTCTCTATCGTTGCCCACTCTGGAATGCAACTCACATCCCTTGTCGTTCTCTTTAAGCGAGAGCAGAGGCCACCGTTGGATTCAACCGCCCGCCAGCCTAACGTTAAACGGAGGCCAGACAGGGTAACGATTCCCTACGTCAGGGGTCAACGAAAGCTAGGCGATGAGCTGAAGGAGGAATAGTCTATTCTAGTCTTCCCATGGCGCCATGAGAGTTGCTCCCGTATAGGGCCACGACTAACCTAAACTCGACGAACCCCCTTGACTATCCTTGTGCTGAAACAGAGGCCCATTTGTCCAGTTATGTGGTACTGACATCTCTTAGCAAAAGCAAACATATTATAACGACTGATTGTACGGCCTGGCCTGTGTCCATGGCAATGCAGTTTTCCTGTGAAATGATGTTCGGCTCGCATAAGTGTGTCTCTTAGCATGACACCACTTATAACAGTTATGATATAAACGGGTATGCGTACAGAGACATCAGTACAACGTAACCCCCGAGTTCCACATAGCACATGTTCCGCGCGTGCCGCTCTTTGAATTTGGCATTCGACTTTCTTAACATGAGGCTGCATCGATTGATGATTGCTGTTGCTGTGGTAGTGATGGTAGCCCGCAAGGATATCCATACCCTTATCCTCGCTGCGAATGCCCTCAACGGCCGTCAAAGCCTAATCCAGCACATCCTAGTCCCAGAAAGGTTACATAGCATATACGTATATCTGTCATAGTTGCCAGGAGCTGGGCCAGTTTTCAATTTTTCCTTTCTCCGATTAAAAAGCCGGCCGTTCGCCTATTGCGCCGGGCAACAAAACTAGCTGCTCAAGGCCACATCTGCATAGAGACTATCATTTCGCTACTGGTAACTACTGTAACTACTGCAGATCTCAAAGGAGCATTGACTGTTTCCGTTCAACTTACATACCATCTCGGTTTTCCGACGAAAAAGCAAGCGCGGGATTTTTTATCGTGCTAATCGATTTGTGTGACAGCTAGTGCAAAAACCAAGTACGTGGTGTTACTCAACTTGTTCTCCCATGTGCTTGATTATTAGTGTGGTGTATCTAGAGGATATCGTTGGATACTGATCTACTTTTTGGGCCTAGACCCAGCCAGAATACTGGCTGCAGTTCTTTAAACTGATGCACGAACACATCACCCTGCGTTTTGTCTTATGCCTTGTTTGTCTTGCTGCATGCTCTGTCCTTGATAGCTATTTGCTCTCGGGGTAGCCCTCTCGGGCCTCAAAAGACTTGATTGATGAAACTAGAAGAGCAAAAATTATACAGGTAATCCTGCGCCTTCTTATATTGAGTGCTTAGATCGTTTATTCTTACACCTTGAGGCTTGGGAAACAGCTTTTCTTACACCCTCTTTAGCCAGCCCTTCGGTGAGGAAGGACAGGCCTATCAATTAGAACTATATCAAATCTAACAATTTCCTATTTTTCCATTGTATTTTCGGTGATCTGCATGCATTGGCCGATCCATGGTCTTTCTGTTTGCTTCTTCATGATCCATCACAGTAGTTCATGTCATGCTGCTCAGCATCTCATGGTTGTGAGTTGAATCGGGTCTTGGAGCTCATATTCCATTGCCAACTCTCATGTCACTTGTGGAAACAATGCATTACGGAGAGCATGTCAATCATTTTATGGCTGTACGTGCCATACGAGCCCTCGCTACCGATATGCGGCAAATATCCTACTCGGTAGGCTTTGGTGATGTCTGCCTAAAGACGTCTCATACAACAGAAAGCGTGCAACAGACGACCATCAAGTGCCTTATGTTAATGTTGCTTGAAATATATGTTTTCTATTGTTCTCGTATCACTCCGAACATGATATTTGCCGATACCGTGATTACACATGATATGATCTGGTAAGACGATGGTGATGTTGATTCGTATGCGTAACTCCCGTATAGTATAGTCATCAATGCTACAGACAACTCAAAACTCACATGGATCTTGAGCCAAACAGTATTGTATTGTACACAGTCATTTAAATCAGGTAGAGCATAATAATTTGCTCTTTCGCGGTTGCATGTCATGGGAAGTTAGCTCACGGGGTAGATCATAGATGCTTGAAGGTGTGGCCTAACAACATTAATAACTATGAACATGGAATTCCACAACTGATTTTGACTAGCACCTATAAATTAACATCAGCCATTGACTGTATGCCTTGTAAGTTTCGTCGAAGTCTTATAATAACACTGAAAGGAAGAACCCAGTGGCGGCAGCCTACCCTATGGCTGGCTTAAGATTCGAGGGATAACATATGAACTGACGAACTTGTCACAAAAATACATCAAAATTTCTTTTTTATTTGATAGATATTGAACGGAACTCTTTTATATCTATATTGACTGTATAAATGCTTCTATACCATTCCAGTGACCCAGGAGTTCATGTTTGAACCACCTCTAGCAGTAGAGTTGACAAAACAAGATCACAACTTGTCCGCAACCAACATAATCAATAATTATTTTATGTGACAAGTATTAACATAATAGAGAATTCAATATAATTTGTTCACTCTAGACAAGTCGTCGTTCTGATATTTTGCTGACATACTCCAAACCCTCCAAGTTCACAACATGGCTCGGCTATGCCTTGAGCTGCCAGTTCAATAACAGACCCAACCTGTCTCCCACGAGGTTGATCAAACAGCTGTCAATAATCTTCGCGTCTTATGTCATGATCTTCAAATAGATCAAAACTTGTGATATGTAGTTATTTTTCTTTTTGTGTCACATGAAACTAATGACCTATCGTACCATCTATACGAAACATAACAAAGCGGTGGGACAGATTGAGCAGAGGTGTAAGAAGATTAGTTGCCATGGAGAATGGATATACTAACACTCTAGTTGCTGAATGCCATTCGCAACTATGAATGACTTGGTCTATGTCATAAGTCGATGTTGAGAATATCGTTAGGTAGTTTACCTTGTTAAAGTGAGTACACCTTACTCTAACTTGCAACAGTAAGTATATTGCCCATTGCTACACTATTTCGCGAAACAAAAAACAACACCCTGCAAGTCGTAAAATCGTTTCCCCAACAAATATTAAAACCAACGGATATAAGGCCAGGAACTGTTAGCCAAGAGTTTATCAGATGGACCAGTGCTACCTTGTGTAATACGGTAAGTGTTTTCACGTTCTACCTGAAACAGAGTGATCGGATATCCTTGTACGGAACAACTATCGCTGCATCTGCTACTAACCCTACGCTACGGGCCAGAAAAGGCCCAGGTTCGTCATATATCACTTATACGCAGGGAACATTGGCGCAGCTGGATGGTGCAACTAGACCCTGGGGAATATCTGGACAATACAACATAAACCACCCATTTTGCAAATAAGCTATGTAGAAAAGACAAAAGCAATAACGCAGCACGGATGTCGATATATGTGTTGAAGAATGACTCGGGAAAGACAACGACAGCCTCGGCTCTCCTGAAAGTTGTGACAAATGTTAATTACCGTTCGGATGTCTTCAGACAACTCCCATGCATTAAGCTACCAGCATTCAGTGATATATCCAAGAGTCGGTCAAGGCATGACCGAGGCTAATGAAAGAATTGGACTGAATCGCCAGAGTAGAAAAAGCAAAAAAACACAAAAAAACGGATACATACAGTAAGACTAATAGGCCAGTTACTGGAAAGGTACAGATACGGAGTAGGTATATTACAGATCCCTGGCTACATAGTATGTCATAAGAAATTACAGTCTCAAAGCCATGATTAGCGACACGTGATACAGGGACGAGGATAAGGGCTCCCATGGAAAGAAAGGAAGTGTTTAGTTAGTGTAAGATATTTCTGTCTCAAGAGTGGCTGGAGTCTGGAGCTCCCTAGGCGAGCGAGTAACAGGCTGGGTAGGATAAATCTTCAACCAGCGGCAAGACGACACAGCCATATACACGAAACAAGCGCAGTCGCGGCTACACGCAATTGCGGTCTGAATATTTTCTAGTCAGGGGGAATGAATGGCTTAAAGGGAACGGAAGGATTTGCGGGATGATCATGGAGTGTTGCGTATTCTGTGAGGGCGAAGTTAACCCTGCAATGAAGAGAGTCTCGTTTCAGATCAAGACCCGCCTGAGTCACTGTTGGTACATAGAATAACTAGGTACTGTAATTATTAAAAGAATGTCATTTTAGGAACGAGAATCTCCCATCACAACAACATTAATGGGGCTGCAACTTTCAGGTGAAGCACACCAAAGGAACTGGTCGAATTTCCTTTTGTCTCTCAAACTCTGGGGGGTTAGATGAAAAGTCCAACTGCCTACAAAGGCAGGACACGACGCAAACAGTGTGGAGGAACCCTGCAGGGGCAGATTGCAAGATTGCTCCTTATTAGTTACGGATCACTGCATGTACATATAAGTGAATTGGTGAATGAACGATTGAGTGAATGACATGACTGATGAATAAAGGAAGGTAAAAAAAGAAGCTAAAAAAAGGATTTGATAACTATGTGGGCTGTAACCGTCGCCCCCCTCTGAGCAATTTGACGTGCAGCTAGCCAATTGTAATTTGAGAGACATTTTTCTTATTTGGACTGTGCCATTTCCGTGTGCTGTATGTAGCGGTCTGGTCTGGTAGAAAATCATTTCTTTTCTTTTCTCTTTTCAGGTGATCGTCTTTTCGTGTCTCTGCTGCATCTGGTAGATCATCTCATCATTGGTCATTTGATCGTCTTTTGTCTGAGAGCGTTAGGTTAGATAAAAAAAAAAGCTGAAACTCGATGGGTCTCTTGATTTTCCCGTTTCCATTCCTTACAGCAGTTACCAGACCAGGCTAGCCCCAGGGGTTTCAGAACTGCGAACCACCCTTTTTGTAGCTTGGCGGCCTTTTTGATCTGCCGTCAGAAGGAGACTAACGAAAAGGGAAGAGTGCGGCCCGGTTATGTTTCTGACCACTTGTGATTGTGTGTAGGTATCTAGACTAGTGTCTTGGTTACTCTAAGGAGCGTTGAGAGAGAGAGATAATTAAGCTAGATTGAATAGTTAAATTTGCCCATTTTTTTTTTTTTTACATGCCGATGGGAGATGAGTACTATTGGTTTTGGCATGGTCACTGTTTCTTACTGTTCCCGGGTACTAATTGCTGGGTACCTAACGAATGAATGAATGACACTGACCATGATGAAGAGACCATGTCCAATCAGTTGGCTCTAAACTCGATAAAAATAATCCATCGTATTATAAAAAAAAGTACAATAGCCAAGTTGTTAGTCTCGTATATATCTCCACTCACTCAACTTCAATAGTCCTTGTCCTGTCCAAGCAGGAACAGCATGTAGCTTCATATCTTCGGGTGTCTTTCTTACTGTGACTGAATGACCGAGAATAGAAATGGATATACGTACTACTGGACGTAACCATGTGGACTGTTTATTAGGCGCCGCAGTGGCGCAAGCCGGCCTAGGCTAAGCCACGAGGCCTTTGACAGTTTCAACATTCGGGCAAGTTTAACCCAACATGACCTCAAGGGACCAGGAGTAGGAGGCAAAACAAACTTGGCCACCGACAAGAGTCTAGAGCATAACAGACGGAATTACCGCCTCAGTTGACTGGGATATAGTTGAGTTTCTTTACTTGTCTATTTTCTACATCCAAAACCTTCCAAGTCAAGTTTTTTACTGCCCCTAGCTCTACTCCAAACAAAGGCTAGAAAGGCCACGCGAGAACGTCCCGTGTTTCGATCGTATCCAGTTTACAGCCCGTTTTTATGACGCCGCCCCTGCTGCCCGGCCAGCGACAGACTTATCGCCAGGACCAGCGAGTAGCCAGTGCACTTTCTTACTCTGGTTGGACCCGGCCCCGTACGGCAACATTGAACAGGGCCAGGTATTCGTAGTAAGGTTAGTTGACGGTGGAGGAACAGGGGACCCCCTTTCTCACCCGTCTGAACTTGACGAGTAAGCCTGAGTCTGATTCTGAGCCGCCTGTTCTCTTACATGCAGTACAGTTGCGTTGCAGAGAGGTTACAGAAGACCCCTTGTCCACCTGTGACGCCAAAAGATGGTCGAATCACGGACGACGGGGTTTGTGGCGGGGCCGGGGTAAGGCCAGGCAGGCATGCTTTTTTCTCTTTCTTTACTTCCTTTCCTTTGGTGGCGTAGACCTGGCGCTTTCACTTTCACTTTCGCTTTCACAGCCAGCGGTTGAGACGATAACCGACTACCTACCAGATGAACAAATCTCCTCTTGGGCATACCGTAAAACGGCGCTTGCTAGTTATCTACTAATGTAAAGACATGACGAGCTGCAGCCCTACATAACACAAGACTGTATATGGGCAGGCGGTTGACGAGGTTTGATGACAAAACGGGCATGTAATAATTAAACTGGTGAACTGATCTGCAGAAACACCAACGCTGGAATCTTGAAAGTTTGAGAGTGAACAATTGTCTTTGACAACTCCTGATTGAGCAAGCGAATCCGCGCTTGTCTATCGTTTCCCAAATTGTCAAGATCTCAGATAGCCCTGACATTACGGATATGTTGACTAGGTTGATCCGCAAATTATCCATTTATTATTGTCAAGCAGCTATCCATCAGCACGGCGCAGCACAGTGTACGTTCTGCTACAGACCAGGAAGAAGGTACTTAACGCCAGTGGTTTAAATTTAAATCCTCCACCTTGGGAGCAGCAAGCGTCGCGACGTCCCACTGCCACACACCCCGTCCGTTTGCGCCCCCCCCCCCCCCTTGTTCTTGTTCTGCAACTCTCAAGTCCCAATTTGGTTTCGGATACATGATTGGCTGACTGTAAGCGCCTTTCATGCTGTTCCAGTGCTGCAGAGTGCTGCTCGAGGTCTATATTTAGGATCCCGACGCGTTTCGTGCAGGGAGGTCGTCCACTCACAAAGCAGAATTTACGGCCGTGGCTAGCTTGGAACCTCTGAGAAGAGCTGTGAGTGGTTCGTTGTAGCGCCTTTGAAGCAGCTCGCCCCATTCTACTGACCTGCCCGCTCATCTATCCCATCCTCACTCTGGAATTAGAGCAACCTAAGAGAGTGAAAAGAGCTGGAGATCCATCCTTAATGGTGGCATCAGCTCAGTGCAATTCTGTTCAGTTGGCTCTCGCAGGCGAGCCTAGTGTGTATGTCGATGTCTATGATGGAGTCTCTCATTCTTTAATTCCAGTCTTTGTCTCTCATTGGACACCGTAAGTTGTCTATTGGCAAGGGAGTGACATAAGGATCTGGACTCGATTTGGCCATTCAATATTATTCGCTTCGATACTCGTGACCGGAGCAGCTCAACAAATGTGTTGTGCAGATATTCCATCCAGACGCAGTACGAAGATCTAGACTAGATCTCCACCAAAAAATACTTGTTGTCGATTGTTAGCAATACTAGGTTGCCAGTTGTGCATGTTTCGTATGGATGCTATTCTTGATTTTGCACCCATTCCGAACCTGGTTCAAGGATCTCACGCAGGTTTCCCTCCCACTTCTGTTCTCTTTTCTTCACGTGCAGGATACATGTGTACCTACAAACATTGCCGCTTGTTAACGCTTTCAGTGCCGCCTATTGAAGGCGGATATTTGTTTCATATTGAATACGAAAATAAAAAAGAATTGCCGCCGTGTGCAGTTCAACAACATGTTGAATTATAATTATCTACCAGGTACTGCTGTAGTTGTGGCCGGATTAGACTTCCCTGGATTGGACTGGATGCTTCAATTATTGTTTTAGGTGCCGCCGTTGCTATGTCGGCGGGCAACGCTCGGTCTCCTTTTGCAGGGCTTGGAGCCTCCACCAGGCAGCTGACTTGCCCGTCCATGGCAGTGGAGGCCCTGTATGTACTGTGTCGTGGTCGGGAATACATACAGTAAGTACCTCCTTCGCCGGTAGCGCCTGCTGGGTACCAGGTTCCATCTCATGGATTGCTCATTGCTCGCGCGCACACCCCCAAGGGCTACCAGTTCTCCCCCAGAAGCTAAACTCAATCCAATCCAATCCCAAGACGTCTCACACTCCCCTCCAACTCATTACTCTTCCTCTCGTCTTTCTCTCTCACTTCTCTCCTCACTTTGATCTTTCGAAATTCAAATCTTAACCTCTTTGCCCTTCCCTTTGCCCTCCCCCAGATCAGCCCAAGAAGTCTGATATAACCTCCCCTCCTCGAACGACGACTCGGTCTCCCTAGTAAAGGGAAATAATGATCTCGCGACTTTAACAGCGCCACTCGCAGCCCTGCCCTGCCGCTATCTATCGTCGAGGCGCCAGTTCTTTGTCTCACTTCATCTGGGCTCGTTCCTTATTCTTCCTGCTACCCGCTAGATTCGACAGTAGCTTGTTTCTTCGATTGATTTTATCGCCCCAGCTCGCGATACGTTTCTCGCCAAGAGCATCTTTTTTACCTTCTCTTATTCACAAGCCGAGGATTCTTGCGTGCATTTTTACCGAGCACTGCCCACTACCCGGCACGCTCAGCGACAGGATCAGCTGTGCTGACCATTCGAACGACCGACTTAACTTGTTCTCGATCGCACCGCTACCTTGGAAAACCATTCGTTTCTCATACCGCAATATTTACCACTTGCTGCTCAATTCTCCAAATCTTTGCACCTAATTTCATCAACATTTTCACGGACTGCAAGTCAACCCTGGTGTATTTCAACGCCCAGCACGAACCCTCGAAGCAAGACCTACGGCGCAAACGACAAGATCATAATTGACCTCAAAATCTGCTTCGGCCTTTTGCGCGCATAGGACGGAAACTTACCCAACCACCCAACCACCACCAAAACATGCCTTCAGTTACAGACCGGAGAGTGTACGAGGATCAAATACCGCCTTTCATGACAGTATTTGACCTGGATGCCGAGACTATGGCAGATCAAGACACTGTCACACTTATGGACACTAAATTTGTCGATATGGACACTAAGCGACCTGGCATGATGGGTGCCTCTCACCAACATGGCCTTGCACCAAGCATGATGCCAGTGGACTCAATTCACAAGCACCATGATAGCACATCAACACAAACCTCCGAGTCGGCCGACTCTTCACCCACCACAACGCTATCTACAACCGACTCTTCGCCTCTGTCAGATGCCTCTCCTTCCTCTTCTCCCGATTCTCCCATGAACCTTATCCCACTCAACAACTTCCCTGCTACCAGCTTTGGCACTCTTGGCGTCAACAACATGAGCATGAACTACAACACCAACAGCAGTACCATGTTAAGCGAACCGCCTCGGTTACAGCGACCCATGACATCGCCCTCGCCGCGGCGTGGACGCAACATGAAGGGTCTGTCTATTCAACCCCCCTTCGCTGTTTCGACCGCCACAGCAAACATTTCGTTGGTTTCTGAGCCAGCCTCTCCATCATTCATCAAGCCTACGATTCCGGCCATGAGGAGAAAGCCCAGCCAGTTGAGTCTCAACACCAACACTTCTGACTTGAACCACAAGACCACTCTAGAGGTCCCGCCTTCTCCGGCCATGCCTATGCTCCAGCGCCGAGCTCTGAAGCACTCATGCTCGTCGCCTCACATGTCCTCCGGTCTCAAGTCGGCAACATTTGGCCCACCAGGCGGCATGACCTTTCCCAAGGTACTGGAACGAAACGAATCCGGACTCTCAGAGGTGTTGCGTCCATCCAAGTCGACTCTCAAGCCAACAACCATTCATTCTGCCATCACGGAAGAGGACTCACCGATTCGTACTCAAATGGCCTTCCGAGATGATGATCCTTACCGCGACAATGAGAACAACGAGGACATGAAGACTCCTGGATACCCTGACGGACCAATTGCCATCTATGGGGATAATATCTTCCTCTACTCGGAACCTACCGCAGACGAGGCAGCTCGCTTTGATGTAGTCATTAACTGCGCCAGGGAGGTCAGCAACCCGTTTGAAATCAACAGGGCCAAACGACGCCCTATGTCTATTGCTGAGCCCGACACTGCTGTGTCTACAGCCAGCTTCATGACAGCCTGGGAGTTTCCTCAAGGCGAAGATTCGGTTGAGACACCAACAACGCCCAAGGCGCTCCAGTTTAAGGAGCCCGAGTACATTCATATTCCTTGGGACCACAACACTGATATTACTCCCGATCTTATGAATCTGTGCAATGTTATTGATGACCGTACCAAGGCTGGCAAGCGTGTGCTTATCCACTGTCAACAGGGTGCTAGCCGATCTGCCAGTTTGATTATTGCCTACGGACTGTTCCAGAGACCTGAACTTACTGTCAACGATGCTTACTATGCTGCCCAAGCCAAAAGTCAATGGATCAGCCCAAACATGAAGCTCATGTATTCATTACAAGACTTCCAGAAGGAAGTGTCAACAAAGCGCACGGCCCAGCCCTCAAACCGCCCCAGACCTGGTCGCAAACCTTCCAAGCACAGACTTACACTGTCCGCCAACGCCATCGACATTGGACCTAAGGAACCCCAAACTGCGCCTCTTCCATCACAAGGCGAGGACGTCAAGGATTCGAACCTGAGCTCGAGTCCCACTCGGTTACGTGGCAACTCGACACCTGGCCCTCGACCAGTTTCACCAGGCCCAGCTTCTGCTCCCCCCACATGTACATGGAAGGATGAGATCGAGCAACGGCCATCCGATAAACTGAACCCTTTCAAATTGGGCGATCTACCAAAGAGACCCGTCTCGAATCACGGCGAGGCGCCGCTGCCCACATTGGCGCCACCTACGTTGGCACTACCTACGTTGGCACCTTCGACTTTGGCTCCATCACCTATGATGGATTCGACCATGAAGCCGCCTCCTTCTCCCGGATTTCCTTCTCAGGCAAGCTTTGGCTTCCAGAGTATGACCTTCCCAAGGTTCAATCCAGCACCACCCGAGATGAAGTTCAACGACAGCCCATTTCAGAGGACGATAGCTCTTCCTGGCTCATATCCAGAGGACGATGCCTTGTTATCGCCCAGAGCCGAGACAATGACCAACAACCCGCTTCACGACGTGCATGAAGTTGCCGGTATGCGATTTGTGGAAAGTCCCCCGACTCCGGGTCAGGGTTTGTTCTCTCCTCGAGCCGGCATGTTTCCTCGTGACCCTTTCTCAACATTTGGGAGACCACCAGTTGTTGCAGATCCAAGGAGTCCACCTACCAAGGGCGAAGCACCTATAATTCGATCAATTGATGATCTCTTATGATGAAGCTTGACCATAGTATCATGTTTCGAAGCCGAACGATGCAACTTCCACATGGAAGGAAAACGTACGATACCTTCGCTCAAATTTTCTTTTAATCTTAACACTCGCTATACAACTATGTGAAACCAGCATTTCCGGGCGTTTTCTTTTTAAGCAATGGGACGGATATCTTGACTGCACTTAATCCGACCCTCGATCCCGGATGGTCTTTCGACTGTCCGCACGACGATACGCAAATATCAAAATATATCTTCTTTGTCACTCATCTTATCCAATCGTTATCCCCTCTTCAACACACAGACATTCGCTATTTTCAGCAACGCAGAGCGCATGGCATCGGGTGATTCCACGACGGCCTAGTGTAATATAGACAAAGACGTCCCGTCTTGTCAACTTGTTTCATTTTCGTGTTTTTGGTTTCTCTTTGTCCATTTTGGACAACAAAACGGAGTGGCGTATGGTTTATGGAACCCTTTGTGGGAAACATGGGGAGAGCTCAAATACCCAGTCAGGGAAAGGGCATGGAGCTACGGCCACGGGAAAGACGAGTTGCTGTCTTGGTTATAGCAGCAAGGCGTTTAGGAAGCAAAGGGGTCTTGGAACATCCAGACCATGTTATGGAGGAACTACATAGTGATAATCAAAATGGTTACCACATCGTTAAAAGCTCTCTATGCGATATATCCTGTATCATCTGACTATATCTAAGTTTAATACTCTATTGGGAAAGTTTTGAGAGCAGGTCTTTCGGACAACCCCATGATGCGCCCATTCACACAACTTGATATATACCTTGACCCTTTGC